TTTTTTTTGGGGGGGGGGGGGGGTTAACCTCACACCAACACATAATAAGAGGTGATATAGCCACTTCCTAGCTTAACTGGTGGAGGAAAAGAAGTCCCTGGCAGGATTCCAATCCAGTGGTCAGAAGAAAGTGGTTTGAAGTCAACAGCCTTAACCACTCAGCCAGAGACAGCCAGCCAAAATGATAGTGATTTTGATACTTGACAATAATTGACTGTAGGACATTGTGCTTGACTATTTTCAGTGCTTGATGGTAAAACCGAAAGTCTAGATAATGTAGAATTTTCTAAGTTCAAATAGGGTCATAATTCTGTCAAAATTCATGTTAGAGTTATGGGCCTTGTACAGTGACCTCCTATAATATTCTCAAAAAAGTTGTGAAAAAAACCCACATTCCCTTCAGAAGTTTTGGAGATACCATGTTGCACAAACAAACCTAACCAAAGTGTGATGCCTACGCCTGTAAGAGTAGAATTACTTTACATATTCTTCAAATAATCGAGCTAAAAATACATATCAAGATGACAATAGTAAACATACATAATAATTTATTGAGTGTTCTAGTCAAATATGAGTATTTCACATAACATATCACAAATCAAATACAAGAGTTGATTGATATAGCAAACTTACAGTTGTATTTGCAATAAATATAAGACGATACTATGCTCAGTATTAACTGACTCACTAATTTCCAGTCTAGATTTTAACCTTATAAATTCAATGCAAAAAATACACAAAGTACTTGTAATGTTTCAAATTAACATTTTTCTTGCTGGTACCGAAAAAGGATTAGCATTTGCCACCAGTACATAACCAGGCCAGCCTGACCAAGCCCTATACTTTTGGTTATCAAGCTTTAACTTTTCATCTTCTTATTTCTTAAACTGATAATGAACAGATCCAGTAATGGAAGATCAGGACAAGTCCATTTAAGAAAATCAGCAGGTTAAAGGATTAAGGTAGTACACCCCTAATGGGCACTATAATGAATTGTAAATTTGACAACATAGGATAGTTATATGCCTTAAATGTCACCTGTATGCAAAATGAAAACAAAATTTACCATGTGGTTTATGAGTTATGGACATTTTTATGAACTAAAACTTTGCCATTAGAAGGGTTTTTTTCAGAAATGAGGAAACTCTAAATAATCTATTATATCATCATTATGAAAAGTGTTTTTTTCTTTTGCTCACTGTTAAGAAATAAACAATGACATATAGGTCACAAATTAAACAAGCAAAATGATTGTTTTTAAACAAAATGTTTTAAATATGTATAAAAATGTAACCCTACCCCACCCACTTTTAACACTAATTTGACCTATGTAAAAAGCCTTATTTAAAATATCCCTAAAATTTTCAAAAATGAGGGGCTAATTTCAAAGTTTGCCTAAATTTTCTTTAATGTATATTGGTTGGTCTTGCAAAATATAAAATACTTTTACCGTTTAGTTTTTATTTTATTAAACTTTGAAAATATCTGGTATCATATTTGCAATTAAATTTGGCATTATTTAGTAAATAAATACCTACAATAATTATATAATTAAAGTAAAACACTTTTTTCTTCCATAGGGGGTCTGAGAGATTAATAAAAAATGTTAAAAAGAAAAAAAAAGAAAGAAAAAAAATTGCCCCTTCTGGGGCTTGAACCCACGTCCCCTCAGTTTCAATACACTTTACAGTGATTTTAGCCTATTTGAATACTCTTCAAAGTGGAGACAGTGCATTAGGGGTGTTCTACCTTAAATATCTCTTAAGCATTTGCATAATACACAAACTTATCAAATGCATGAATTTCTAGACTAGTGTTGAATGTTGACCCCTTTGTCAAGAATAATTCAATTAAATATACAAATAGTCTGTTAAATCAAATTCAAATGGATCTTGATTGTTTTCTTAAATGAAATATGTACTTATTGTAATGGACCTGCCCTGTTTTGAAAATTTGAAACTAAAGGGATATCAGTAGCATAAAATATTAAAATTAAGCAGGTAAAATTATATTAGAGGGTGGTCAGACTGTACAGATTAGCAGTCTTGTTTGTTCGTACACTTGACGGCTCAGGCGAGCCTATGTTGTAACTATAGCAACTAGTGTTATCCAGGGGATGGTTCTCCTATATGGCATTTGTAAACAGCAACATCCTCCCTGTTATTTAGAATGGGTTGATCCGATAGCCAGTACCTAGAGGAGAAAATGGATTGACCTTCGCCCACATGAGGGCCTCGTTTGCTGATACTGCAGATTTTCCGTCCTCCAGAAAATAAGCGAGACCCTGAAGAAAAAGTAAAAATAAACTCATCGGTTAAATCCTTTTGCATAATATTTAATAAATTAACAAAATAGAAATAGTAGAATATTAAACAAAATAATAAACTAGAAATGTGTCCATAGGACACGAGTGCCCCCACATGCCACTGTTCTGTCAATCTTATGACTAGGTCAAATATTTTTTGTAATTTAGTGATGTTAATCATTATTCTGTACAGTTGGTTGATTCTAACTCAAACACTCAAGGAAAAAATAACACAACATAATGGAATGTTTTTTACTAAGTCAAGGGCAATAACTCTACAAATACTGGATAAATCCACAAGCAAAACCCAAGGTGCCAACTACATATGCTAAGCAAAATTCCCGTAAGGTTTCATGACTCTATGTCAAATCCTTTTTCAGTTACATTCGACACAAGTTGAAAATTGCAAAAATTTTCTAAGTTAAGGGCAATTACTCTAAAAATACTGAATAAATCCACACAAAAATACGCAGTTGCACAACTACACTGTAATGCTGATCAACATTCCTGTAAAGTTTCATGACTCTATGTCAAATACTTTTTGAGTTACACGCGCCAAGCTGGAAATTGCAATTTTTTTAAAAATTCAAGGGCAATTACTCTAAAAATACTGAATAAATCTACACAAAAATACCCAGGTGCACAACTGCAAATGCTGATCAACATTCCTGTTAACTTTCATGACTAGGTCAAATACTTTTTGAGTCACATGCGACACAAAAGAGAATGGAAGGACAGACGGATGGATGGATGGACGGAGGGACAAGGGTAAATCTAAATGCCCCCCCCCCCCTAAAGTGGGGGCACAAAAAAACATTTTGCTTTGAATAATATAAATCTTATACAAATAGATCTAAAGTCTAGGGTGGAACAATTTCTTCTGTCTACCTGTGTTTGCTGAAATTTTTATAGCAGCTTTTCCCGCTTTGAAGTAGAACTGCTATTTTAGGGATTTCATTATCAGAGTAGTTAAATCAAGTAATTTTCTGTATAAACTCTTGCATAACTGTGGTGATTGCAAAGAAAGGTTGAAGCTGAAGTAATGTAATTTGTTTTAGAAATTGTCCCATTTTCTTTTCTTTTTTTTAAACTTGTAGGTTTTTACTTAAGGCAGATAGTACTGTAATATATAGTCAAGTTATAAAACAAGAGGGCCATGTTTCATGTATAATATCTAAACTCAAGCTATTTGGGTTTTTTCAAAGAAGATTTTTAAGTTTTTGCAATACACATATAAGGAAAATCAATGACCCCCGGGGCGGGGCCAGTTTTGACCCAAGGGCTTTTATTTGAACATACTTGGTAGACACCCATTAGAACATGTTTCATGCTAAATATCTTAGCTCTAGCTCTTTGAGTTCTTTAAAAGAAGATTTTTTAAGTTTTTACTATATGCATATAGGGAAAATCAATGACCCCCTGGGGCGGGGCCAATTTTGACCCCAGGGCTTTTATTTGAACAAACTTGGTAGACACTCATTAGAAGATGTTTCATGCTAAATATCTTAGCTCTAGCTCTTTAGGTTCTTTAAAAGAAGATTTTTTAAGTTTTTACTATATGCATATAGGGAAAATCTATGACCCCCTGGGACAGAGCCAATTTTGACCCCAGGGCTTTTATTTGAACAAACTTGGTAGACATTCACTAGAAGATGTTTCATGCCACATATCTAAGCTCTAGCTCTTACGGTTCTTTAAAAGAAGATTTTTTAAGTTTTTACTATATGCATATAATGAAAATCAATGACCCCCCGGGCGGGGCCAATTTTGACCCCAGGGCTTTTATTTGAACAAACTTGGTAGACACTCATTAGAAGATATTTCATGTCAAATATCTTATCTCTAGCTCATTGGGTTCTTTAAAAGAAGATTTTTAAGTTTTTACTATATGCATATAGGGAAAATCTATGACCCCCTGGGGCAGGGCCAATTTTGACCTCAGGGCTTTTATTTGAACAAACTTGGTAGACACTCACTAGAAGATGTTTCATGCTAAATATCTTAGTTCTAGCTCTTTGGGTTCTTTAAAAGGAGATTTTTTAAGTTTTTACTATATGCATATAGGGAAAATCAATGACCCCCTGGGCCAGGGCCAATTTTGACCCCAGAGCTTTTATTTGAACAAACTTGGTAGACATTCACTAGAAGATGTTTCATGCCAAATATCTAAGCTCTAGCTTTTACAGTTCTTTAAAAGAAGATTTTTTTAAGTTTTTACTATATGCATATAGGGAAAATCTATGACCCCCCAGGCCAGGGCCAATTTTGACCCCAGGGCTTTTATTTGAACAAACTTGGTAGACACTCACTAGGTGATGTTTCATGCCAAATATCTTAGCTCTAGCTTTTTGGGTTCTTTAAAAGAAGATTTTTTAAGTTTTTACTATATGCATATAGGGAAAATCAATGACCCCCTGGGGCGGGGCCAATTTTGACCCTAGGGCTTTTATTTGAACAAACTTGGTAGACACTCATTAGAAGATGTTTCATGCCAAATATCTAAGCTCTAACTCTTACGGTTCTTTAAAAGAAGATATTTAAAGATTTTTCTTTCGGTTGCCATGGCAACCAGAGTTCTGCATGAAATGGAATTCTTTGAACAATCTTGATAGAGCTTCATACAAAGAGTATTCCTGCCAAGTTTCATTAACATTGGCCTTGCGGTATCATAGAAGATGTCCTTAGAATATTTAAAATGTGGACGGACGACAGACGACGGACGCCATTTGGTTGGCCATCCTAAAAGCTCACCTGCACTTTGTGCAAGGTGAGCTAAAAAGAAGAGACACTGATGGTAGAAATACACTTTTTTCCACCTTTTTCTTATCAATATATTCACAGCACTTGCTTGCAGACAGACTGGTTTACCTGTATTCTCTCTCCAGTAAGACATGAGATATGTATATCAGAATGGGATGGAAGATGAGTATTTGAGACACAGTCTGAGCCGACTAAAATTTTATTGGGTTCTTCTCCAATTCTTTGCTGTAATTTAACATAGACTGGTTTATATTCTGCAGGTATTATGTCAACATTGACTGGTTCCCTGAAATTGGACAAAAGAAAGAAAATTTAGCTTATGACCAAACATTGTGTAAGAAAAACACCTAGTAAATCACTGAGTAAATGCTGATTAATTTATACAGAATTTATTGTAGTTTGATTTTGTTGGAAACTATAGGCTTATTGAAAAACTCTTGAAACTGTTCCTTGAACCAACAAGTACTAAGCCATGAAAGTTTAATTTCCTTTTAAAGGGAACAATATCCATCTTTGACTGGTTTCAACCTATGCCGCCAGCAATCCTTTATTTACTAGTCTGATATATTAACTACTCAGCCACGCTGTCACTGTCTATGGGTCATATCTACATCTGAAACCCGTGCTGGTTAATCCAGATAGCAGATTGTGAAGTGATTTCATTATTAGCTGAACCATTTTGTCACAAGCCATTAGTATTAGTCTTTAAACTTAAAGAAGATCAAAGTTTTAAATAACAAAGTCAGTCACTAGATATTCCAGTAATCATTCATGCACTATTTTACTTTCAAAATCATAGTTGTGACAAAAATACACAGTTAACAAATCATCGAGATCAGCAGATTCCCTTTTTTACCACAAAGGCTACTCTCTCTTAACTCTTATAATTTGAAGAGGTAAATGGTAAGTTACTAATCAATGGGTACAGTCTGAGAAGCTAACAAGCAATTTAAAAAGTAAATTGGTATAATTGAACTTATATAAAATAAGACTTCATTTGACATGAATACAGTAAATTTTGTATGTGTTGTTGGAATTTAAGTAACACTAATAATATAAAGGTCATATTGTGACTTCCCAACTATACTGGTGGAATAACGTACCCTGGGTGCCCCTTCATGCATCATTTCAGGCACAAGCAGGCACCTGAGTAGAAACACTGACCAATCATAAGGTAGTAATTGACTATAACTTACTGTGGTTGTGCTGTATGAACAACATTCCAAGCTGTACACTGTGACTGTATAGCTGATTCTGACACACCAAAATCTATAAAACTTTCGTTACAAATACGTTGCCTGCATCAAATATAATAAAAATAAATTGAGTGCTTTTTCAGCCAAATATGAATTTCAAAAAGATTATAACTAAACAATATGACACAAGCTTGTCATATAACCAAATAATAAGTTTTCCTAAGAATGAAAACAACTATTTCATAATCTGGTATTATTTATAATGAAATCATGTATATGTAAGGATAACTTTTCAGTTATGACACATAAACAACAATTATTTAGTAAATTGTCCATTTTTCAGGTAATCTACATTACTTTTCTTTCTTTCTTTTTGTTTTCTTTTTGGTTGGGTATCAAATTTCATTAGAGAAAAAAAGAATTATTTTTTTGTTGTTGGGTTTTACGTCATACCAACATTGTATATGTCATACAGTGACTTTCCAGTTTTATTTGTAGAGGAAGACCTCAGGTGCCCCTCTGTACATTAAGGCACAAACCAACCCCCAAGTAGAACCAGTCCAATGTTCAGGTCAGCTTCCTCACATGAAAGAATCCAAAGAACTTTTTACAAAACATCATATATTTTGTATATATAAGTACCTAGAATGTTGGAATAGAGGTTGAACAATGCTATAATAGCCCCGTCTTATAGCAACCAGAGCACCAATATAAGCACAAACTGCCAGCAATTCTCCCTTCTTTCTGTCGTAAAAAATGAAAACCAAAATCATGTTTCTGTATATTGTAAATAAACAATGTAAGAATTAATATTTGTCTGAAAAAATGTGATGGGTTTGTAATGTATCATAACAAGGTATCAGTCTCAAGTTTGCTGGAAGTTGGTCAGTTATAAAGTAAATCCCTAAAATTATAGATAAAAATGAAAACAGAAACTCCTTGAAAACAGTAACTTTGGTTATTAATTTTTTTTTGTGTTGGGATTTTTATGTCCATATGAAATATAACCATATATACTATAGTCTGTCCCACCAAATTTGAATATTCCATTTTTTATTAAATATAATAGTGAAATCATTTAAATTAATGTCATGTTATCCCTGACGTCAATATCTCTAGGCATGTTTTTCATTTTTTCCATAAAGTCAGTAATATGGTCAAAATGTTAAAATTATATTTTTTCCCGTTGACTTACGTTGTAAGCTGACGTACCATACAGACGTCATTTAGGGTTCGTCTCACAATTAGCGTGAAATGTACTCGGTAATTATAAAAAATTGATTATTCTTATTTACTTACTGATCAATAGCTAAATGTTATCATTTAATTAAATAAAAAATGAGAACAAAGTTGGTGTCGAAAAGGCAATTTTACTAGCAAACCATTATTTAAAATAATCAATTTAAAATCATTTGAAGTGAAATATCAGTAACCGCTTTATAAATTATAACACACAAAGATTTATATAATTATATAATTACCATATTTTATATTCTTTTTAAGAGAAAAAGAGCAATATTATGAAGTGATTTGATTAGATAGCTTTTCAATCAAGCGCATATGTTGAATACCGCAACGCGTCGTAAGGGAACAGGAACACTAGCTAGAAGACTGAAAAAATGGTTCTTCGCTAATGTTTAATTAACATAATTCTGTAGTTGTCTGAATACTGTCCATTAGTATGTATCACGTCTATTTAAAAATAATTAAATTAACCAGGTCCGATGGGATACAAAAATATGTTATTAAGAATAAGATTGAATTGGAGCGTTTAATCAGGGACAATAAGTTTTTTTTGTAGACTCAAAGTGTTACATACTATGTTAATATGAAGGGGATATCGAGTCAAAGAGAAACACAGAGTGATTTCCTAAATAATTATAGCCTTCCTAAAATTTGAAAATATTCAGGGAAAAACAATAGCTATATTTTTTCGCGAGAGAAAATAACACCGCATAGGGTATATTTTGTAGCTAAAAGAGTAGGATTTACAGAACTCTTGAATAACGAGATAATTTGTAGGGAAATTATTTCTGAGAAATATATAAAATAGTTTAAAAACATATAGTCAAAACGAAGGTTATATGTGAATTAATGGAAGAGGTATTCTGTCATATAGATTCATGCCATTAAGTGTGTTTAAAATTATTTAAATGTTATCAAAAGTTTTATTGTTAATATATGAATTGAAGGTGTACTTTTAACAATTACTGCAAAATCTGGGTACTGTATACAAAAATAATTTAAATTGCCATCAAGACAAATTTATCTCGCTTAAAATTATCTTTATGAGGTTACATATGCCTAACCGCCCTCTGCCAATGCCGCAACTGGAATCATCAATAAAAAGCGCGAGGCATTTTTGTTACGTCATATATTTCGTAAATTATTGGTGACGTAATAATGTTTTTTCGTCAGGAATCCATTTTTAATAGTTATAAACATTGTGCTGTCGAACTAAATTTATGGGCCGTTCTTGAATTATGGATTTGGAACATACTGGATTATGATGTGTTTCATTTACATATTTCATTTGCTAACCCAGATATCTGCACAAATGGAACAATGTTTTAATAATGAGACGGATTATGAAAAAATCTGGATCATCATAAGTGTAAATGTCATGCCATTCAGGAGTTTCAAAGTCTACGGAACTGGATATAAACTGGCAATGAAGTGATCTTCAGAATGCGAATTTGTCGTGACGTTTATAAAGATCTATTTTGAAACTCATAGGGATTCTATTCAGCTTAAAAGTAAGTGCTATTTCTAGATCTACTCCACAGACTCGATGATCTTGTTCAAGTTGTTGCTTGTTATTCATTTTTTAAAGTTTTCTATCATGCATTGCAACGAAACTGTTACATCTTGTAGATACAGCTTTGTAAAATAATTATGAAACGACCCCGAGAACATCATGTACATTTTAGAAACATGACACGTGCGTTCTCCCGTTCATCTTCAAATGAAGAGTACTTCGGCAATGGCTACGGAAAATAAACAACAGAGATTTGCCGTAGAGAAATGAAACTTTGCTTTTACAAGAAAATTAGACACTTTAGAGAAAAATCCTGAAAAATCTCGAGGGTGACTTTTTTTTAGTTTACAAAAAAGTTTTAATTTTTATTCAACGTGTTTTTATTAATTCATACCAGGCAAAAGTTCATTTCCATTTTTAATGGGACAGACTATAATCTACTTCGACTATAATATTACTCAAATCTCATGAAAAGACAATAAATTGAAAAATTAAAGTCAGCACTGATTATCTCCCTTGGCACATAATTTGAAAGTAATGCCACTATATACTGCTTTAGATAATGTTCATTCTAATATTATGCAAATTATCATATTTGTATAATTATTATAGTAATGGTTGACAAACCTATGAATTTGTAGGGCATCTGTCCGAACACTGCCAAGCTGTTGTAACATAAAGAACACATCATCTACTGTCCAGTCAGATGTCTTTAGAGTATCTAAATTGAAAACAACAACACAATATGCATAACTAATTAAAACAAGTGCTCAAATATTGCTTCCTTAAACCCAGATTTATCATTGCATTGCAATTTTAATAGAAAGAAAATTGTAACTGTTGTGTCATAAAGACACTCTTTTACAACAATTACAAAATCATGGCAGTGGTTTTCTATTGGTTAAGGCCAATCAAGGGATTTTGGGATAAAACCTTATGACAGTCATGACCATGTTTCCTGATATGACACCAGTACTTGTTATTCTTAGGTCTAGATCTGCAAAGCAGACTTAAGAACGGTTAAAGTAAGGTACATGCTTTCTTCACAACCAATCTTACATAAATAATATTTATTAAGACTGATACAAAATCGGGAGACTGTTAGGCCTACTTATTGAAAAAAGACTACCAACACCATTTTTAAGTCTAGACAGTGCACAGTCCATGTAAGTACTTACTTTCAGATCAAACTTTACTTGGTACAAAAAGAAACGTAACGATGAAGATGTTTTATGAAAGACAGTTTAAGCACAAATCCAATACTACCATTTTTTAAAAGGTATACATATACCAGCATGTAATACCATGGTCTTATAATGATTGCATCCAAGTGAAACTTTTTTACAAAAGTTATTTCAGACTTATGGTCCACCCAAACATAGACCAGACAGTTGACTTACACAAGTTTTTATCTCCTCTTATCTTATATATAGAAAAAGTGCAATAATACTAAAAACTTCAAATAAATGTTTTATAGAATATTTTCCTCTATTTAGTACAGCTTACTTTTAACATAATCCAGACCGAGGTCTATACCAATCTCTGGTGAGGCTGACAGGAGATAGAACAGAACACATTCAAATGTATCATTTCTACGCTTTAATTTCTCCGCTTCATTAAAACAGTCAGCCACTGACGGCAGATGTGCCTGAAAAAAGTTGACAGATATTAGTTATGTACAGATATATTTCTGAAAAAAATATCACAATTATCAAATGTACATATATAACATATATAGAGTCAATCTTGTTCATGAGGCCACAAGTTTTTAGTGCAGCCTTTTGTATTTGACCCATTGATTTTAATTATCCATATCATTTTCCAACAATATCTTCAATGTGTTAAGCAAACTTTGTTCCATGTGACCAGTGACTTAAAATTGGACTGCAAATTTTGACAAAGTAAAGTCTTTTCAAAGAACGACATGAAAAACATGCCAAGTAGTGAAAATGGTTCTATAATATCTAATGACTTTAAACAAAGCACAGTGAAAAAACATGTGTTTCTCTTCCAAGTTGCCTGACCAAAGTCTATTTACTATTGGATGCTTGATTTTAACTTTTTGGTATCAAAATCCCTCATCTTAAATCTTTAACCTGCTGCTTTTATATAATGGAATAGTCCAGCTTCCATTTTTGGAACTGTCCATTATTAAGATGGGGATATTAAGATGAAAAGTCAGCCAACAGTATAAGAGCTTGTCAGACCTTACAGATGAGCAGGCTGGCCTGGCTCTATACTGGTGTCAAAGACAAATCAAGTTCTTAAACAGGGCAAGTCTATTGTTCAAATCAGGTGGGGTAATGGTATTAAACTTACTCTTTTATGTAAGGCATTTATTTCATCTATGGAAAGAGCACATCTTGAGCAACATCTTGCTAACAATGTCTTGTTATCTGGTACCTGATGTAACAAATCAACAGCTAATTCCCTGAAAAATTTACCACAAAACCATGACAATAATGTTTTACAAATCTTAACAACATACTTCATTGTAAATAATCTTGTTAAATGCATGCATATAAAATAATTTGATTTTTTAGGTACAAGTGGCCTTTTGGTTGAGGTGTCTACCTCTCAGTTCAGGGATCATGTGGTTGAGCTCTATTTGGGTCACAACCATGTCTCCTCAAATGACACCAGAACTGATAATTAAGTTCTAGGTAATGAACTTTAGAGTAGTTAAAATTAGCTTCAAATGATCATAATTTGGCTTAAAAAATATGTTTAAACCAAAAACTTATAACCAAATGTCAACAAATATCTCTAGGCTTGAGAGCTTGCCATGTTGTCTGTAAAAGCATATGAGAAGTATTCTATATTTTGCATGTTTAGATTTGGTGCACTAGCTTCATATGAAGTTTCAAAGTATGTAATGGAATTGAAGCTTTGATTTTGCAAAAAAAGTCCAAAAGCCATAAGAGATGGGGTAGGGGAATGATTGGTGCCAGTAATTTCACTATCAGCAAATATCTATTAGCCACAAAAACATTTTCAACAAAGGATTATTCTCAATCTTATTACACCAATCAGTCAGTTGTCATATACTAAATAGATATTTACCATTTTCCAAGTCGTTCACATCTCCTTGACAACATTTCTATAGCAACAGAGGTATATTCTTGAAGGTTACCAATTACAGTTCCCGTAGCAACAGCCAACTCCAACTCATTGCCTTGTATCAGTTTTCCCAAAGCTTTCTGAAAACAGAATTGTACTAATTTAAAGCATATTTACAGTTCCTGTAATAAACTCCAATAATAACAAGAGGGCCATGATGGCCCAAAGTCGCTCACCTGTATATAGGCCCCCGGAGCGGGGCCAGTTTAAACCCCAGGGCTTTTATTTGAACTTGGTTGACACCCATTAGAAGATGTTTCATGCTAAACATCTAAGGTCTAGCTTGTTGGGTTTTTTTAAAAGAAGATTTTTTCAAGTTTTTTTCTTTACACATATAGTTAAAAACAATGACACACCTGGGGCAGGGCCAGTTTTGATCCCAGGGCTTTTATTTGAACAATCTTTGTAGACACTTACTAGACAATGCTTCATGCTTAATATCTGAACTCTAGCTATTCAGGTTTTTTCGAAGAAGATTTTTAAGTTTTTGCTATACACATATAAGGAAAATCAATGTCCCCTGGGACGGGGCCAATTTTGACCCCAGGGCTTTTATTTGAACAAACTTTGTAGACACTCACTAAAAGATGATTCGTGCTTAATATCTTAACTCTAGCTATTTGAGTTTTTTCAAAGAAGATTTTGTAAGTTTTTGTCATACACATATAAGGAAAATGAATGACCCCCGGGACGGGGCCAATTTTGACCCCAGGGCTTTTATTTGAACAAACTTGGTAGACACCCATTAGAAGATGTTTCATGCTAAATATCTTAGCTCTAGCTCTTTGGGTTCTTTAAAAGAAGATTTTTTAAGTTTTTACTATATACATATTAGAAAAACCTATGACCCCCCGGGGCGGGGCCAATTTTGACACTAGGAACAAAATTTGTACAACTTTGGTATTGGACCTTCATATGATACCATAGACCAAATATCAAAGCTCTAGGCCATTTACTTTCAGACCAGAAGATTTTTCAAGTTTTCACTATATGTATGTCATGAAAATCAATGACCCCCGGGGCGGGGCCAATTTTGACCCAAGGGCCATTATTTGAACAATCTTGATAGAGGTCTACTTCACAATGTTTCATGCCAAATATCTAATCTTCAGCCTTTGCCAAATCAGAGAAGAAGATTTTTTTAAGATTTTACTATATACATATAACGAGAAACCTATGACCCCCGGGGCGGGGCCAATTTTGACACCAGGAACAAAATTTGAACAACTTTGGTAGAGGACCCATAGATGATACCATATACCAAAAATCAAAGCTCTGGTCTATGTACTTTCAGACAAGAAGATTTTTAATTTTGTGTTTTTTGAAATCCTTTTCTGGCCCTATGACCTACATTTGCAACAGACCGGAACCATTTTAACAACTTTGAAAGAGGACCACCCAATGATCATTTCTTTAAATTTTGGTTGATGTGCAGTCATTGGTTTCACAGGAGATGTTGTTTATGTTAAAAGTTGACGACGCACGACGACGCACGACGGACACAGGGCCATCACAATAGCTGAGCATTGCTCAGGTGAGCTAAAAATTCAAAGGGCAAATATAAAGTAGCCCATTGTGGGTTCAATTCCCAGACTGGCCAATTAAAATCACTAATCAGTCTTTTGGATGAGACTTTAAATCGAGGTCCGGTATATGAGTGCTTTAACACCTGGAATGTTAAAGACCCAGTGGAAGCATCTGGAATTTGAGCATCTTTCTGTATCTGTTTCTTGCACTATCCTCCAAAATCTAAAATGACTAATACTGTTCTGGAGGTTTGTTTGTTTGTTTGATTGGGTTTTACGTCACACCGACATAGTACAGGTCATATGGCGACGTTCCAGCTTTACTGGTGGAGGAAGACCTCAGGTGCCCTTTTGTGCATTATTTCAGGCACAAAGGGGCACCATAGTAGAACCTCTGACATTCTATAAGCTAGCTGGGTAGCTTACTCACATGAAATAATCCAAAGTTCTGGAGGACTCCTCCATATTGGAAACAGGTGGCAAGTATAAATAAACTCAAAAACACACATGCCAGTTCAGCCTGCATGTCAATGCAGTTTGACCAGGATTTACGATGTTGACAGATCAATTTTCATCCATTAATCTTTTTATGGAATGTCACAAATTTATAGCTGGGCTAATCTATAATCTGAATTCCGCAGGTTACGGGTTAGCTGTTATTAGTATGATCAGAAAATGATTAGAAAAAAAGGTCCATGAACACATGAAAACAATATGGAGTTCTCAATTTATCAATATTTCAAAGAAAAAAATGGTACAAATTTATTGAAAATTAAGATTTCATAATGATGACACTGACACACTTGTGTGTTTTGTTTGGCAGATAACGTATTATTTGATTATAACACTAAGATTTGTTATACTGCTGACTTTAACAGCAGAACTCTTTTACCTTTGACCTCTTTACATAACTGTTACTTTTGAGATAGATAGAGATGTAGGACTTCAAACACAATCTAATGAAAATTATAATGAATAAAAAATTTGTACAATAAAAGGATAAGCAAACAGCCATCTTGGCAGCTATGATTAAGTCAAAATCTGTTATTTGGTCTGACAAAACATATACATTACTCTACGAGCGTGTAGATTAGTAAAAATTATAAAAAAAAAGTTAAAGAAAAAAGTAGAAGAAATAACAAACCTGAACATTATCTACAGCAAGGAAACAGCAAGCAGCAAGGATGGGTGATCCATGCCACAAGTGCCATGCTGCCCAATCTTCCACCGTCTGCTGCAGTAACCTAAATAGAGAGACAAGCTGGTGAATAGTATGTAAATAGTAAGCTGCCAGTGGAGGTGTTTCATTAGGCTGGCCACCATTAAAATATTGTTTGTTCACCACCCTACCTACCCACAAAAGTTTGTAAAAATAATACTCGCATTACCTTTTACTTATACTAAAATACTATACATTGGGAAAAGGGGTGGTTACATAATAGAAGCAGTAAACAATATTTTACTTTAGGCCTAGCAAGATTAAAAAATGCAAACAACAAGCATAATTCATCTGTGCATATTCTGAAAGGGAAAATTACAAGAAGCAAAAAAAACAAGAGCTGTCGGTAGGACAGCAAAGCTCGACTATTCTTAGTGCTGGATAGTAAAAAAAAATGCTTGATACAGTTACCTCCTCCTGTTTACAGGTTGGGGTCATGATGGTGAACAAGTGTTCAAAGTTTCAAAGCCATATGTCAATGGACTTTGAAAATATTTGAACTATTACAAAAACTTTAACATAAGTGGTTACGCCGACGCAGACGCTGACGCCGACGCTTGGGTGACTACAATAGCTCTACTTATTCTTATCGAATAGTCGAGCTAAAAAGGGTGTCCGTGGCCGAGTGGATTGTTAATATGGCAAGCTTTAAGTATAGTGTATAGTGTATCCATAGTAGCAAGAAGTTTCAAGGCAATAAAGCTATATCTAACAAATTATATTTTAATAGATAAAATTATGTCCTTCCCATAACATTATGTTAAATTCTTGAAACAGTTACTAAGTATATCATAGAATTTCTTAAATGTACACAAGCATATTGTTCAAAACAGGAACAAAATATTATGCTGCTATTTTAATTAGGGTTTAAACCATTTTGCAATTATTCAGTGCAAGTGTCATCAGCTCTAAAGGAAATATACAAACAATTTTCCTTCAAACTGATATTTTGGAAGTATTCTTTTTTACAAGATAGAATAATTATTTTGTAAAATACAAACAACAGAAATATAGCTTTATAGTCATGTTAAGAAGTTGATTTTTGCATAAAGAAAGAAACAAGTGGTACACAATTCAAGCAAAAATGTGAAGAAAAAAACTATGGAAAAAAATCAATAACCAAAAAAAAATGCAGTTTTAAAAGCATTAATTAATCTTCTAAAGTCTGGTTCCAACTTACTGTATTTGCTTTTCAGACGGTTCCCCATACCCATTGCTGGTTCCCTTCTGATTATGAGCATCACTATTGCTGGGAATCAGTCCTTCACAAGCCACCTGGGCTGTGAGGACGGCATCTGACATTTGACCTCTTGATGCATAAAAATCTACCAACATTTCAGTATCACCTACAGCTGTACAAAATACTGCAGCACAATCTTTGTCCTCTCTCATTAAAAACCTAGAATATCTAAAAATAGATTTGCTAATGATAAATAAAGCCCACATTTCTTTTTTTTTCATTATGAAGTTTTCTATTAGATAAAATAAAACTTGTATAAAGCATATTAACAATATTAAACAGGTTATCATTACCTATCACAATATAATGGATCTAGTATAATACAGACAGTTAACATTATACAAAGTAGACAGTCTTTCTTCTCCTAAGTTTGAATTTTTATAGGAATACATACAACAGCCCAAAATATAATATGTGTAAATATTTTGAATATAGTTACCATCACCATCTAATTTTCAATTATTATACAAAAGAAACAATGACTTATAGAGTAAAATCAGATAAGCCTTTTATCCAATTAAATTGTTAAATAAAGTTGTAATGCTTTGAAGTTGCAAACTTGAATGAGTTTTGGTAAAACTATATAAATTGTTCAGACAACAGAAAAAAGTCTGGTTAAATTTGTCATCAAGTGCAAGCTATAATCTGGCCTTGAACAGATTGTATACACAAGTTATTATGAATGCTGACAGAACTGAACACCTAGCCTGCTGGAACCAAAAATGATTAGTCTTTGCCACCAGAATAGAGTCAGGCCAGTCATGCAGTGTGATACAGGCATATAATGTTGTCACATTTAGCTAAGTTTTTGTGTTTATATGCTGAAATCCCTTTACATTTGAATGGACTGTTCTAAAATTCAAAGCAGGGCAAATCCATTACTCAATTTCAGTTAGTTAAGAGTTAAAAAAACCCAGTTTTATCTGCTGTACCTGTTTGCTAGATCTTTCCAGTAAGCATGAGAGACACCAGGTGCGACAGCAAGTGCCCTCTCCCATTCACCTAGCTCCACCTTTAACTCGCAGTATCTGCGGATATTGCCAGTTTTTAGGTGTAACTCTGCCGCCTCTTTCATCCTGTCCTCCTTGTTTCTAGCACCAGTTCCTCCACTATTCTTTAACTTGGCCATCTCTAGCTGTTGAGCCTCTGACTTTAAAATAAGTATTGAATATAAGTCACTACAACAAATGTACCTATGAAATTATGTTTATCTTTTTTTTTTATTCTTTTTTTTTAATACAAACAAAATATTTGTATTTTGTATAAGTACCCAAAGTGATAAATGGGGCAAAAAAAATATCACATAGAAATAGATAACAAATGCAGGTAAAGAAGGCAAAATGTGTTAATCACCATAAAATGTCAAACCATAAAAAATGTATGGTCTAAACCACTGACATTTCCATACTAAAAAGGTTTGCACAGCCTATCACTTAGTATTGTTTAAAAATGTGACAAAAAACAAAACTGACTTCTATATGTTAACCTAAAATTGCCATTTTGGCCCTGTTAATCTAAATGCTGTTTTGGCCAACTGGTTAAGGTTGCTGACTTTTTCAAATAAATTAATGTTGAAAATTAAATGGATTCTTTAATGTAGATAAGCTATTCAGATTGCTTATAAAGGCATTACTGTGTCTGAAATAATGCATGAAAGGGCACCTGAGATCTTCCAGCTTCCTCCACCATTAATGACATAGTTTCTGCATGCAAATAAAAGAAATATAGATCCTGTATAAACAATGGCTTTTTCTTCTTTTTTTTTGACTGGGTTTAATGTCAGACCAACACAGTATAGGTCATATAGCAACTTTTTAGCTTTACTGATGGATATAGACCTCAGGTGCCCCTCTGTACATTATTTCAGACATACAATGCTGCACTTACTCATGTGGTACAGGTACCGTAAATGTTATATTTCAACTTTTTTATGTAAACTTACACTGTGGTATTTCAAAAGATGTTTCACATGCATTATTCCCTTGTTGTAATTTGAGGAAAGTAGAGTATCGTCCACACCTTTCAATACTGATACAAGTTCCCAGAGATTCTCTGTTCCAGCCGGTGCCTGTTGTGAATGAAATATAATTTCATACATTGCAAAGCACTTTTGTATTGTTCTAAAATGATATATTGTTAATAGAAGAACTTAGACCTTAAATACAGTGAAAAGGAGGCCTGATTCAAATAAGCTGCGCATGACACATCGTCTGATTATTATGAACAATTATGGCAAGTATTTACAAAATCCCTTCATAGATAAGAAAGTTATGGACCGGACACGAAATATACCCTGTAACAGACTATGTTAATATTTGACCTCCAAGTGTGACCTTGACCTTGAAGGTAGGTGACTGCTTTTTCCGCATGACACATCGTCTGATAATTGTGAACAATTATGGCAAGTATTTACAAAATCCCTTCATAGATAAGAAAGTTATGGACCGGACACGAAATATACCCTGTAACAGACTATGTTAATATTTGACCTCAAAGTGTGACCTTGACCTTGAAGGTAGGTGACTGGTTTTTGCGCATGACACATCGTCTGATTATTGTGAACAATTATGGCAAGTATTTACAAAATCCCTTCATAGATAAGAAAGTTATGGACCGGACACGACATATACCCTCAAATAGGCAATTTTGACCTTGAATGAGCAAGTGTGACCTTGACCCTGGAGGTAGGGGTCTGGTTGTTGCGCATGACACATCGTCTTATTATAATAAACATTTGTGCCAAGTTATTTCAAATTCCTTTCATAAATGACAAAGTTATGGACCGGACACAAAAGTGTGACGGACGGACAGACGGACGGACGGACGGAGCCTATTTCTATATCCCCCTTTTTTTTCGAAAAGGCGGGGGACAATAATCATCTGTAATCAATAAACATGTACTGGTATGAAATAAGCACACTGGCTCTAAGGAAAACAAATAATAATGATAACAACTTTTTGAAGGTCAAACATGTACCAAAATGATGTCCATCTCTGTTTTCTAGATACAAACTTGATAAAATCAAGAGAGCAATGTCAAATTCAAAATCCGGCAGCCTCATATAATTGGTCAGAAATGGTTATTTGTAAAACTCACCATAAAAAACTTGGAGAAAAATTTGATTGTTCTGTTTCTAGCATCTTTAGGAAATTCTTCAACCTCGACCTTTAACGCTCGTGAAACACGACCTGTCAACAGTGGCTCATGTTTTGGTTCCATTACAGTCTCTGGAAAATATTAAAGCAGGCACATTATAAAATGTGGTATCCATCTACTTGATCAAATAAATGGCAGCGTGGCCCAGTGGTTAATGTCTCAAACAAGTAATTTAAGGATTGCTAACCACAGGGGTTCAAACCCTGTCAGAGGCAAGCTGTTGTTTCCTTGAGCAAGAAACTTTACATTTATTGCTTAGTACTGGTTGGTTCCAGGAACAGATTCGAGTGTTTCAATAAGCTTATAGCTAATAACAAAATCAAACTTAAATAAATTAATATAAACTAATAAATGGATAAAGCAACAACTTAACTAATACAAACTTGTATTTATCATTCCTTTGAGATAATATTAGAATTAAATTAGAACATTGTTTTGCAGATAAAGGTAAAGGTGGTTTCAAGGTAATTCATAGTTTATTAACTCTGAACTTGATACAAGTGTCACTCTCCTAAATAAAACAAACGAGGTTATGTAAAAATAACATTTTTTATAACTTTGAATAATACAATACAACCTCTGCATAGTGCCCCTTTGTAGAACAATCACCTCTACAGCAACAACAGTATCATTTTTCCCAAAAGTAAGACTTCACAATATATTTAACCTCTTTAGAGCAACACCTCTCCACAGTAAACAAAATATTTGTCTCCCAAAGAGTGTTTCTCTATACGTTTTCCCAGCAAATCCCTGCAAATTATTCAAGCTTGGTACCAGGGTCCATATTGGTACCCATTCATGCCCTTGTATATACTAATGATGCTATAAGCAAGAAAGCAGATGCCATACTTACCTACTGAACCCAGTATTTGCGACCAAGGTTTTCCAGCTAATATATTGATTTCTATTGGTTGTGATAGGGCAGCCAGGGACCACATTCTAACAGTAGAATCTCTTGAGCAGGAAGCCAGCAGAAATGGCCTAGCAGGGTGACATGTTAACCCTGTAAAAAATGTGAAGGTACTGTACTGGAAAAAGACGGCTCCTGATACTTAGCATAGACAAAGAAGAGTTAGTGCCCTTCAATCCCAAAACACTATTTGTTGTTTACTAAAACCAACAACAGAATTAGGAAATAAAAAACAGTGGTTTACATATTAAATCATAGGCATATGCTAGGACTTAGATAGTCTTATCATTTTCTATTTTAATGATTATGCTATTTCAAAGCTTTAAACCAATAGAGGAACAAAATACTAACTAGTCATGTTAAATTTTTCCTACAATAAAAAGTGAAGCTATAATTAGGCTTGAAAAATAAAACATTACCATAAACATCTGCCCCATGATCGGCTATAGCTTGTATACAGCGCCCTCCATCTCGTATATCCCACATTCTAATGGTGGCATCCCAGCTGCCAGATATCACAAGATATGGGATTTCTGGGTTCCAAAGTATTCCCCTGACTGGCCCCTTGTGACCAGATAATGTACATACACATGCATCTTGAGAATAGTCCCAAACACGCAGAGTACTGAAAATAAAATAGATCTTTATCAGTAACTATGAACACAGTCTGGAAAATTCCAATTTCAAAGCAGGGCAAGTTCATTCAGGAGAATCGAGGTTAAAAGGGAGAATATAAAATTTACTAACAGAGGTCTGCAAAGCTCAAAAAATAAGCAATTTTAACAGTGATGAGACCATGTTATGCACAATACATGTAAATTAAAGGTCCATTAAGCCTTAAAATAATATCATGTTTATTTCCCGAAAACTTTTTATTTTTGGTGTTTTGTTAAAGATTTCACTAAAAAGTTAATTATTTACTACATATCTGAGCCATCTTTTGTGTTTTGGCAATTAGTACAACTATAGTGATTTAGTATTTTTTGGAAGTCAAAATGCTACTTTGTTTACATTTTGCTGCCTTTCTGCCATGCTATTTTACATTTAGTACTATTTTCTTCAGGTGATCTGCATCTGACATGTTCAATTATTAGAACATTATAAACATATAATTTCCATTTGTACAGATTGAAATTTTTTTTAATTGCTGAGGAGTAATGTGCCTTTAAACATACCTGTCATCTGACCCACTACAGAGGAGATTTTCTTTCAGGGGAGACCACTTCACATGAAATACTTTTGATGTGTGCCCTGAAATACATACATGTATATTCAGAATAACAGATTTACAATATAAAATTCATTAAAAGAATTGTGGGTAAGTTTATTTATAATGCTCATTATACATGTACTTAGATCTAGAAACCTCTCAAAACAATAATCTGATTGCAATGCCAACAAGAAGCCTGACAAAAATTTTCATTGCAAATGAAGCACTTAAAGAATGACATGGGATAAAAAACAAGAGCTGTCGGTTGGACAGCATGCTCGACTATTCTAAGTGCTTGATAGTAAAAGATCCTTGATAATGTTAAATTTTTTAAGTTCACAAAAGGGCTAATTTTTTTTTATAAATTCATGTTAAAGGCCTTAGAGACAGTCTAATTATACAGAATTGGCTTGACTATTCGGAAGGTAATGTCACAAGGGTTTTTTATTTAGTATAATAATACTAATGTAACCTATGAATACATAAATTTGACAGAAAAGGTACAAAGGCTTGTTATTAAGATGTTTTATCAAGTAAATCACTGCTTTATTATTATGAATGCATAAAATTGTCCCAAAAAAGGCACAAACCCTTCAGTAGCTATGGAGATACCAGATTACAAGCAAAACTATTACCAAGAATTTCTAAGTTGAAAAAGGGGAGAAAAATCAGCCTAAATGCAAGATAGAATTATGGATCTTTGTCAGTGACCTACAATCATGACCCTAAATGCATATGTGAAGTTTTAAATAAATATCTTTAATAGTTATTGAGATATGTAAAACTTGCATGTAAACATTAACCAAGAGACTAAGTAGAAAAGGGGATATGAATCAGCCTTAATGCAAGATAGAGTTATGGAACTTGGTCAGGGACATACAATTATGACCCTCCAATTATGACCCTAAGTGCATGTGTAAAGTTTCAAGTAAATATCTTTAAAGACCTTTAACCTTTAACCAAAATTTCTAAGTTAAAAAGGGGCAAAATAATTCTGCAAATATTGCAGACAGAGTTATGCAATTTTGCAAACTGATGTACATTGTTACTACAAATAAGTATTTTAAATTTCAAATGAATATCTCAAGCAATAATTGAGATATCTGACTTTACAAAAAAACTTAAACCAAAATTTCTAAGTTCCAAAGGGGCATAATTCTGTCAATATTGTAGGCAGAGTTATCCAACTTGTCAATCTGATGTACCTTGTTACTATAAATAAGTATTGTAAGTGTCAATTGAATATCTCAAGCAATAATTAAGATATTTGACTTTACAAAAAAACTTTAACCAAAATTTCTAAGTTAAAAAGGGGCACAATTCTGTCAATATTGTAAGCAGAGTTATCCAACTTGTCAATCTGATGTACCTTGTTACTATTAGTAAGTATTGTTAGTTTCAATTGAATATCTCAAGCAATAATTGAGATATTTGACTTTACAAAAAACTTTAACCAAAAATTCTAAGTTTAAAAAAAGGGGGCATAATTCTGTCAATAATTGTAGGCAGAGTTATCCTAAACTTGTCAATCTGATGTACCATTGTTACTATAAATAAGTATTGTAAGTTTCAATTGAATATCTCAAGCAATAATTGAGATATTTGACCTTTACAAAAACTTTAACCAAAATTTCTAAGTTAAAAAGGGCATAATACTGTTAATTATTGTAGGCAGAGTTATCCAACTTGTCAATCTGATGTACCTTGTTACTTTAAATAAGTATTGTAAGTTTCAATTGAATATCTCAAGTACTAATTGAGATATTTGACTTTACAAAAAACTTTAACCAACGCCGACGCGGACGCTGACGCCGACGCCGACGCCGGGGCGACTACAATAGCTCTCATATTCTTCGAATAGTCGAGCTAAAAACCAAGGCAATTCATCAAAATTTATTATTTACTGCTATATTTTAAAGTTTGAAAATAATTTATTACAAGTATCTTAAACATGATCATGGCTGCATGGCCGAGCGGTAAATATATTGAACTGGTAATCTCAGGATTTCTAGCTGCATAGGTTCAAACACTGTCAGAGGCAAGTTGTAATATTCTTGAGCAAGAAACTTGACACTAACTGCTTAGTACTGGTTGATTCCAGGAATAGGTTCAAGAGTGTGTCTATTCAAGCTTACAGCTTCCTACACATTTGAACAAAAACAAATTCTGAAATTGATGATGTATTCTAGAAGTTATATTTTCTGTTTTGAAATGAACATTGTTCAAACCTCAATTTTGAACTTTTAACTGTTACATTAAGACAATAAAGCAACCAACAGTATATAATTCTGAAATCTGACTGGATGTGGAGGCTGGCATGACCATACATTATTGGGATTATAAGGCTTTAATTATCAAAGCATTGAATCAATATGTGTATTACCTGTAAAAACTTTGAGTGGGTTATCATTACTTGTTGCTATATAATAAACTCTTACATTCTTGTCTTCACAACCAGTTGCTAACATGTCCCTATAAATAAGAAGAAATTAAGTTTTTAGAAAAAAAAAATGAAACAAATTAATAACCATAAAACATTACTGGTACATTCCACATCTTTTCTGAATTTCTTTTATTCACAGCTACAGAGGGGCGTCCAACTGGGCGAGTGGTTATGGACATTAACTTCAAACTACTTGCCACTCACTGCTAATGGTTTTATTTTTTTGAGCCCAATGATAAACTCTGTAACAAACTATGGGTAGGTGAAAACAGCATTCGACCAGATGTAACTCTACATATTAGGAGCTATGTACCCTCTTTTTTTGACAATGATGGAATAGAGGCCATGTCCCTGTGCCTGAGAGGGGTAGTGTCACTGGAACATTTTACCATGACCATGTCACACTGCTGTAGTTAAGCACTACATTACAAAGAACCCAAAGAGTGCACAGGATCAAATTAATCCATGATGTACCTGTGCAGCCATGGTTCAAGCTTATTTAGAGGAGCAGAGAATTGAACTTTTGCTACATCCTGCTTATAGTCCTGACCTTTCTCCTTGAGACTTTTGGTTAAATCCATACAACAAATCTTGGCTTCGCGCTCAACGATTCAAAACCCGAAGTGCCATTGGAAGCGCTCTCTACCAGTTTATAAACAGTATATCCAAAGAACAGTTCAAAAATGCTTTTTTACGGAATGAATTCTGGGGCTGGAGAAGTGTGTAAAGGTCTATGATGAATATTTTGATGGACTTTTCTAATCATTTTTCACAGGTATGACTTATTTATAAAAATGCGCTGCCGTTGCCATTAATCAAAATATGCCCCTTGAAAATTTAATTTTGACTGAAAAAGATCCAACTAGGATTAGATAGGATAAAAAACATGTAATATCATCATTAAACTATGAAATGGTTATAAACATACTTGTTATGAGGACACCAGTCACAACCATACACAGGTGCCGGATGCTTGTACTTCTGTATAATCTCACCATCCACTTGTCTTATAATGCTGTAGAATAATATACAAGTATATTACTTTTATTATTGTCGAGAAGACATATGCTATGTATTGGCAGGAACACCCACAACATCTTGAAGGCAATAATCAAGATGATGTCAACATATTATATCAACGTCACTTCCATTTACTTGTATATTACTGAGACAAAAATACAGAATCAAGCAACAATGCAAATCTTTTATAGTATATGCCACAATAATAATGTCAAAAATAATTCATTAAAAAGAAATTTTCGCTTGTGTTCTATATTCTTAAATACACACTGTTCGTTTGTTTGGTTGGTTTTACTCCAATTTTAACCTACTTTTGTGTCATATCTCTGCAGTCTGTCGAACCTTAGATAACTAACCAGTAAGAACCAAGATTTCTCCATATATAAAAATATACTTTAGGTAGAATGAATCATAAATTCATACCAGTAACCATCAGCCCCTGTTGACATGATTCTTTTTGAGTCTTTCTGATTCCACATTACTGTAAATACAGCATTACGTCCATGCTAAAATAGAAAATGTTGTTAAATTGAACCTGAAATCAACATCAATCATTTACAAGCAAGATTTGTCAGACAGTCTCCTTGCCTATTCAAAGAAATTTTAAGTACAATATAGGCAGGATTTTCTTTATAATTCACAAAGATGGATATTTTAAGTTATGGGTCTTGGACAGTGACATTATATAACTCACCTCTGTAAATCTTTTTACTATCCTTCCTTTTGTAATGTCCCATATAAATATACCATTCTTAGATGTCCCAGCTACAATACAGTTGAGATCTGAAGGTGCCCATGATAATGTATAAATAATACCCTCATTTCCCGGAGATGTGTTAATCTGAAAAAGTATCAAAAATAATCTTCATAGCTTTATAGTACATGTATACAATAAAGAAACAAAAATATTGACTAACTATTAACAATTTGACTTTTTGTAACATCTAAGTTCACTGTCTAAACACCAAAGAACAGAACAACAACAGTTCTTTTGGCATATATACTTTTTATGCAAATACATTTGCTATGTGAACATTTATAAATAATTTCATACATTTTGTTTCATTGTTTTGAACATTGTTTTCACCATAATACTAAAATATAATGTAATCAAATAAATTCCAGTATTGATAAATATTTTGCTTTTATTTTAAAACGCAAATGATGTCATGTGGCCACCGAATATCAATTTTATGGAATCACAAAATCTGCAAGGTTATGGGATTAATGTATATATATTATCAATAAAGAAAGTAGTAAAATCTTACACATGTAAAAGTTGACGTGTCCCATAATTTCACTGTGCCATCAAAACTTCCAGTGGCTAATATATTGCTGTCATGCGGACAAAACTTGCAGTCAAATATTGTCTCTATGTGACCCTGTATAATAAAGAAAAAACTCATAAAATAGTGCAACAGGATAAATATTTTTCTTCCAAAATTAAACTGATGTAAAAATAATATAGAAAATTAATGCTAGACAATAGATATGTTTATCTGTAATTAAACTTGAACTGCTTGTTTCCCAGTCTAGATAAATTAGATAATTTTAACCCATAGACTTCTGGCTGCACTTGATTTTATCCGTGCAACCAGTGCAGACCAAGATGAGCTTGAACATTTCTATGCCATGACCTAAATATGTTTACAGTACTTGATACTAAACAAAAACAAACGTCAAAAGTCAGAAGATTTGATCAAATTGCCATTAAAATCTAACATCTTATTATAGCTTACCTAATATGACTATTGCTTTACTATGCAAAATATTTTAAATGGACTTGTCTATCTTTCTATCTTTCAAACTGGACAAAAACATTCATCATTTTTAAGGAAATTATCAAAATATGCATGAAAAAGACTGAATAGGCAACATTGCAGGCACAAATGTGCCGGCCGAACTTGGTTTGCATTGGTAGAATCTGTTGCCACCTGCAGGTTAAAAGTTAAAACTTGCCTTCCCATTTGACTGTTGACTCAGCAGTTTTGATCAAACATAGTAAAAGAGACTTCAGCGAACATATTTTATAGTACTGCTAGATAATGTCAAAATAAAAAACGAGATATAAAGTTATGGAAGCCTAGCAAGTTATTGAACTAGATCAAACATACCTGTTCTCGTAGAAAGTCCCATTTCCGTCTACCAATATCATAGAGTCCTACCCCACCATCGAGAAAAGTACAAACAAGTCTAGCGGGCGGCAATGCAAAGTTAGATGCATTAACAGAAGTAGGGTTCTGTGCCAAACTAGTGGAAGATTTCTGATGAATGTCAGTATTTTTGTCTGAGTATTTTGTAAATTTTAGTCTATTTATATCACAGATAACTTGTAAAGCATGGAAGCCCGTCTTTTTCACGCGTATATTTTCTACAGGTGTTGATTTAGAAACATTCCATACTCTAATAATCCCACTCATAGCATCTGAAAAAAAAATGCAACAGATACAACAAAAAGCTACCAACACATTTTTTTTGTCAAGCCAATATTGGGCGAATAATTGTTTCTTTTTCTCTTATTTGTTTTGACAAAAATAATTTTATTGGATAATTCATCATTTCAAAAAATGATTTTCTGAATATAAATTTGGATTATATTACCATTTCTGAAATGAAAAACTACGTATTATACATGTACACACGTATATCTACATTGTTGCATTCTTCTTTGCATCTAATGGGACACAACCCATAACACATTATTTCCAGTGGTTAATGTCTTTTTATTATTCTTTGATGTTAAATTGTCAAACCCTTATCAATTCCTTCAAACATTTTAATAATCTCTTGTAAAATGTTTACTAAATTGTAAATTTCTACAGCAAGGTCAGAAAAATTGTAAATTATACAATAAGGTTCAAAAATACGTATATAAGATTTTGGCTTGTATTTTCTGAAAATTCACTTGCTCTGCCTAAAAATTACATGTCCATATGATAAATATTTATAGACAGAAGACATACATTTATTGACAATAAAATTAAATGAAAAAAAACAACAACATACCACCAGTAAGAAACATTCCTGGGGCACTCGGTACCCAGGACATTGTCTTCACAGTAGTTGCTGCACTTGGCAACTGGAAGGTCATAAATGAGGACAAGGAGGAGGAGTCAATGAGCCGTATGCCCGCCTGCGAGTTACATACTAATATATAGTCTACAGATAAAAGGTCCCATTCTAATGTAACCACAGAATCACTCTCGCTGTCATCGTCATCATCATCCCACACTGGTTTTAGTACATGTCGCTGACTCTTTGACCCTACATATATATAAACAAGAGACAAAGTTTATTTAATTATACACAAAAACTATGATATCAGTATTTTAAAAGAGATATCATAAACCAAGCCGGATGAAATGCTACATGAATAAAATATAAATGTCAGTGGTAAACTGTTTACTTATAATTATATGTAAATATTTTAAAAACAAACTAACTTCACAAGATCAAATTTGGAGATTTAGATATTCAATTACATATGTATGTGCATAGTCTCTATTTCAAAGCATTTAATTTGTATTTTAACTTCATATGCTTACATTCTTCCTTAACTCCTCGGCCACAGACTTATTTTTTAATTTCACACCATTTTCAATACTTTTTCTATGAAAATTGCTATATCTCACTCACTTTCAATGAATATGATATGACTTATATCCCACTGACATATTTCAATACCACATCAAACGGGATAAGATAAAACAACATACATTGTACTTACCTAAAGTACAGAACGTTAATGATCCGTCCTTATGTCCAAACGCAACCTTTTCAGTTTTCTTATGATGCCATCTAAAACATGTCACCTCTGACGCAAACCCGCCCGTTTCCTTCACTGTGGAGACTGACAAATCGGTACCCTTATACGACCACAAAAATAACGGCCCCTTTCCGCTGATGTACGAGACTGATTCCCCATGAAGTAGGCACCAGTCTATACAAGTTGGAATACCTTTAGTATTTTCATAGATTGCTACAGGTCTCTCTTTACTAATATCCCACACTATAAGTTTACACTCGTGACTGGCACTAACAAAGATATCAGGATTTCGTGGATTCCAGGAAATTGACGTGATTGTTTTCTTGTGTTCTGACAAGATGGACAATAATTGAAACTGATTGTATGTCTTGTCTAACTGAAAAGCAATGGTTTAGAAGTTTGATAACTAGAAAATGAATATAAAAGCACAGTACTATTTTTGTAAATGGATAGTTCCTGATTTTGACAATACAAACAAATCTCTATGTAGCTGCTACAGAGAATAGTTACGCAAGTTACAAACTATAGACTTTTTTTCAATAAAAAAACATGTTTTGGTAAATACATGTATCTCAAAATTAGATACCTAGTAAATGTATTTTTAACTTAATCTAAATTTTTGAGAAAAAAAAAAGTATTTTCCAATGCATATAACTTTTTCAATGATAATATTTCAAAATAAGAAAAATGTGAAAGAATTTGCCTTATCGTCACCTTAGTGCAGTAATGGAATATTTCTATAAATCTAAGACTATTAATAAATACCAAGATACATAGAAATGTATTATCAGATATGTTCCTATTAATTTGTTTGTTCGTTGAATTCTGTCAAAATATCACATCAGGGTTAGAGATCCCTTCAACACTATTGTAAGTAAAGTAGTGGCAGCATGACCAAGTGGTTACAGGTCAGACTAGTCATCTAAGGATTGCTGGCCGCGTGGGTTCAAACCCCTTCAAGGACAAGCTGTTGTTTCCTTGAGCAAGAAACTTTACACTCATTGCTAAGTACTGCTTAGTTCCAGGAACAGATTAAAGAGTGTTTCAAAAAGCTTATAGCTTCCAACACAATCAAACTAAAATAAATTAGTATAAACTAAAAGTAATGTTTTACCTCATAAACATAAATGGCCAGGGTTGAGCAGTAGGCAAATCTATCCCCACTTGCTGCACACACACTATTGTTCCATGGCTGACAGCCAGCAGGTAACAAACCCACCTGTTTGATCATTCTTAAATGTCTGTCACACTCAGTATGTCACCGTCAGTATCATTTAACCATTGTGCCTGAAATGGTAAAATAGGAATGATATACTAAAATAAAAAGTAAATGCAATTAATTCAAAGATGAAGCACAAAATAAAAAGATAACACACTAAAATAAAAAATTATGCACTAAATACAAAGATCTTGCTCTAAATTTTAAATACAAAGACAATACACTGACTGCAAAATTGTAGAACTAAAGATAATACACTAAATACAAGGTGAAGCACTAAATATCAAGATAATGCACTAACTACAAAATTGAAGCATTAAATACAAAGATAATACATTAAGGTGAAGCAATAAATACAAAGGTGAAGCACTAAAATACATAACTTATGCGCTTAATACAAAGGTAATGCACTTAATACAAAGTTGAGGCACTAACACAAAAATGATCCACTAAGTTCAAAGATGATGAACTTAAAATACAAAAATGATGCCCTGAACTCAAATATAAAGCACAAACTTCAGTATCTCTAATGCACTAACTGTAATAGTGATGAGCTTAATTACATTATGCATTTCAAAAACAAAGATGATATGCTAAATATAAATATGATATTCTTAATCCATCAGTGTTGCACTGCATAAAATATAATGTGCTCAATTCAAAACTGATGTGCAAAAATCAAAGAAATTTTCTATTATTTCAGACTTGAAAATTAATCCATGTTACCTTCTCTGATGCTATCTTACCACATCATGAATATAATGTCACCTTACTGCTATAACTGATTAACTGCTATTAAATTTAGAAGGACTTATTCAGTTCTTGCACTAAGGGGACGATAAAAAGCAATCAGACTGGCTAAATGGAATTATTCTAGACAGACACATTGCAATGCATTATAATGTCAATAAAATATAATCACTATAAAAACAGAAATTCTATCCTCGTTCTTTCCATATAACAAAGAAACTTAAAACAATGTCTCCATAAAACTAATATTTTATTAGAAAACAGGTAATTTATTGGAACAACTTCCTGCTCTATCAGATATTTCTAGCATCTGCCTTTCAGTTTTGGTGCTTTGGAAAAAAATATGATTTTATCACAATTTAAGTACTTTCCAAAAACTGGTATAATTTTTGTTCACAAATTAAGTACTTTAGAAACTTTGGAAAATTGGTATGATGTTATCAAGATGCTAATAGCTATTTTACCAATTATATATTTAAAGACGACAAACTATGAATGAAAGAGTTAAAAATGTGACATGGTTCTTTTCTTCTTCATGATCATTTAATTCCTTACATTTTTTTTTGCTTTCTAGTTGCACTCTTAATTACTCCACAAAAAATAATTTTTACAATTATCAAAGACCATAAACTAAAAAGTGAAACTCCTAAGACATAAAATTTTTGAAGACATCATATGATACAAAAGAAACCTGAATTATTTATTCAGTATGGTAGCAAAGAATGAATATCAGATATCCCAGGAATGATGACTCTTATCTTACAAAAAAGAAGATTTTAATCAATAACATTTACATGATTTAACAAGAAATTGTTATAGCCTTGCTATAGTTATGACTGTTTCAAAAATAAAATTAACCCTTAACTTATAATGAACTTGTCCGGCTTTGAATTAGGAACTGTCCGTTGTTATGAAATGGGCTCAATTTTAAGTCAGACTTTATTGACATGTATCAAAGTTGACCTGACTCTATACCAGTGGCAGCAGCTGCATAGTGGTTATTGTATCTGCCTCTGGAACCTGGGATCATGGGTGCAAACTCTACTGAGGTCATGAACACATATGACAAAAGTATTGGTTAGTTTTTTTGAAAGAAGTTTAAAAGAGCTTTAAGCTTTTATCATTATAAAAATTTAATACATGTATCTGTAACCTTCAGCTTGTTGGCAGCAAGAGTTTCTACCTGCGCGACCAGTGCCGACCAAGATGAGCCGGCACAAATGTGCTGATCTGTGCCATCGGATCCTTGTCTGCACTATGCACTTGTTCAGTTAATAATATGTATCTTGAAATCTTACACTTAAAAGAATGCATAGTTTTGTCCTAAAAGTCCATTTAAGATATTTGGCTTGGTACGGGTTTGAATAAAACTAACCACAATGTTCAAATATTAAATTACAACTATAATAAATTGTAAATATTAATTTCACGGATCTATGATTCTATTAAACACAATTAAAAATGATTTAAATTTTTTTAAGAACATTTAAGTCGAATACTTACAGAAAAGGTGTAAAATAATTTCCCCTTTGATGTTTACTTTACAAAACCTATTGTCACTCATGTCAAATATACTTTTTTTATAAAAATTATTCTATTGATAGTATTTTATACAAACTATTCATCAAATCCTTTCAAAAAAATATCACAAATGACTTTTTACTCCATACAAAGTCAACCTCATTAACAACATCATTCATTCATTTAAAAAATCCTTATTATACACAATAAAAAAATGATGTTATCCTATTAAATTAAAAATTTATCTTCTTGTATGAAGAAAGAAGTATTATCATAATTGTAGCCCAAAATAAAAAATTTAATTCACAATTATCTGAGATAAAATAGAATTGACAATCAAAAAATCAATCACGTCTTTACTGAAACCTTCCACAAATACTAACAAGCACATAAAAAGACACTTTAAGACTTGCTCTGACAAGATGTATGAAAAGGCTGTCAACATAATTGAATTACTGTAAGTCTATAGAATAACAATATATTATCTGTACTTTAGAAAATTAATCACGCAGACTGCAAATAAAAAGCTGATTTTTTTTTTTGATAAATAAAGAAAACAGGTGCAGCAACAACAGCAAATCTCAATAAAATACATACTTGATTGAAATGTCTTATTGTATTTTTCATAGAATTGATTTTTATTGTCAATCAATTTGATTACAATCATTAAGTGAATGAACAGCGAGATGGGTTCCAAGTAACACTAGATGGAAGAAATCAATAAGTATCTACTGCAAAAACAGCAGTGTCCTTTCCAGTAATTATTCAAGTGGCCAGTTTACATTAGTTTGTTTCTCTAAATGAGCCGCCTCACGACAAAACCAACATAGCGCGTTTGCGACCAGCATGGATCCAGACCAGCCTGCGCATCCGCGCAGTCTGATCAGGATCCATGCTGTTTGCTTACAGACCCTAATATGAAATTAGGCAAAGCCTATGAACGGGGAAGTCGTTAAAAAATTCCTTTCATTCTTTCCGTTTTAAAATTGTCATTCGGTATTACATGCACCGCTTCCGTTTTCACTCGGAACACTCGACGTTTATTATTGATCCGAAAAGTTGAGATTTGTTCCGTTATCGGAATACCCCGCCTTTTATCATTGAGTTACATTGTAAATGGCGGCGCCCGACTAAAACTGACACTGAAAATTTCTTTGATAGGTATAGAATTCTATATATTTTTTAATTGTTTTTTATTTGATTTTCTTTTAAATATACACGTGTAGTCTATAGCCGGGCAAGCCAAAGCCCGGACCCGCTTCGCGGGCCCGGTCTTTGACTTCCCCGTATAACAAGTAGAGAAACTGATAGCAAACAGCATGGATCATGATCAGACTGCGCGGATGCGCAGGCTGGTCTGGATCCATGTTGGTCGCAAACGCACTATTTTGTTTTTGTTGCATGGCTCAAATGTTCTTTTCATTAAATGTATGAATAATAATTTTGGAAGAAAAAAAAACAAGTTTGGCTTATTTTCTCTCATTTCTTAGGTCAAACTCTACACAACTAAATCAATTACCGTTTTCACACTAAATATAAGAATGAACTTCCCATTTTCCAATCTTGACAAAACAACTCATTATTTTTAGATAAATTTTAAAAATCTGTAAAGATTAAATAGCAAACAGTGCAGACAATGATAAGACAGCGCAGATGTTTCAGCTGATCTTGCTTCGCAATGCATGGTTGCATGCATAGATTCATTGGCAGCCAATTTAGACTTTTAATTTAAAAGTATATGTATCTGTTATTAGAGTTAAACAGGATGATTCAAAACCCATAAACAGTCAACAGAATAGAGTCAGGCAAGGCTGTTATTATTGTGAAGGCCAGCCTTACTTCATATTTAAGTCCAGCTAACTCTTAAACTACTGGACTTGAGGATGATTAGCCATTGCCATCTGTGAAGTCTGACGAGGCTCATTTACTGTTAGTATATCTCGATTTTTATATTTTTATATTTAAACCCTTTAAACTTCATATGGACTGTTCCAAATTCAATGGAGGGCAAATCCAATAGGTAAGGCTATGTACCTTCAGGGCTATAGCTACAATAAAAATTTGCCATTTCAAAATAAATAGAAAGAGTATTTTATGAAATATTTTTCCCTGTAAGAAAAAGGAATTTAAGTTATCTATCATTGTAAAGTTACATGTATGATACATTTTGCTAAATTAGAACTATTTAGTTTTTAGTGCAACCTGATTTGCTGGAGTAAAAGTAATAAGAAATTCAAATATTGTACGATAAAACTGTATACAAACATTAAAGTTTATTAATTAGTTTTGATATTTAAACCCCTATTAAACTAGATCTATAAAAAAAAATTTAAATTTGCAAAATCATGAAATCATGATAAAATTGATTTGGCTTCATGCATCATGTTTACTTTGTCAGTCCATTGCACAAATTACAACTGGTTACATGCAACTTAATTCAAAATGTAAAAGAAGCATAAAAAAATTATATATATTCCTTACTTCTTCTTTTGTAATGCAAAATATGCATGTGACGAAATATGTTTCCTTCTGCAATATTTACCCAATATTTACATAGTCACGTGATCAAACATTCTCGTTTCTACCCTGACACCGTTCAAAGAATTTCCGGTCAAAATATACGTAAAATTTGCCTGCTTTTAAACGTATTTTCACGTGTTTTTAAAAAGAAATATAGGTACTAATCATTTATAAACATATCCTTCATCTTACACTTCAACGTTATGGTATAAATAAATTCTTACATGTTCCTGAACATATCAAAATACTAAATATTGTAGTAGAGTAGTAGTCGACGTATTTCATATTTCGGACAGCATGAGTATTTAGATCACTCACAGACACTTTTGGGTCAGACCAAGATCCTTGCTTGATTTGTCCCAGTCAACTGTCAATAAAAAACTTAAAAGTACAAATTGGCATCCATCCTAATCATAAAACTTGATCTTAATATTAAAACCATTTCATGACAAATAAAGAAAATTAAAAGATCCCATCCACATCAACTGATCAATTCTCTATAAAGTAAAGATTGCAGATTCTAAAATACTTTCCAACCATTGCAAGAAGAAAACATGGACTAATGTTAAGCTGTTACGCTATATATGGTCTGTGTACCAGCTTGATAAACTCATTTTAGAAATAAAATAAAAAGAAAAGTTGAGTACAAAAAACATTGTTAATGAATTTGTCATGGAAATATTTTATTAAAATTATTCATTAACTTGATTAAGTAGTTGTTCAAACAGATATAAACATGAAGAAAGAAATCTTGGGTCATTCTTGTACTTAATTGGATGTTTGAAACTGAGCAATCTTTGTAATATAATATTAAAGCTGTGCTTGTTTGTTGATCTGTAAAAAATGTGTTTTACCTCAAGTTATTTACAAATATGTAAAAAATTTAAGAATCGCTAGCAAAGCCAAACTCAAGTTATTTATAAATATGTAAAATCTTTAAGAATCGCAGCAAAGTCATCAAAATTTATAAGAATCGCAAACCAAGTCATAACTTTACCAGATCAAATCAGTTTTACACATATTCTTTGATCATTATTCTATTTAATAATTTCCATTCAATAAGGCATTTATATACTACGGTCTACCACTGTTAAAATTTTATTATTTTAATATAAATCTTTTTTTTTCTTTTTTTTTTACATAAAAAGAATTCAAAGCCATTTTATTTTGCCTGATATATGTATTAAATAGTGTAGAGTTGACCAAATAGGTGACATTAACTGACCAAGAGAAAGTTAAACTTTGATATGCCTTAGACTTTGTAACACAATGTCTACTCCGATTGGTGTATTCGGTGATGTACTGTTAAACGGCTTGTTGATTAAAACCAACAGTTACCAAACATAATACTATAGCATGATAAGCCAAAGTCTGGGTCTGTGAAGCAGTTTTTTACATGCGCAATTTATAAATATCTTCTTTATTGTTTTATTTAATAAAATTTAAATGTTGAGGGCAAGCTTTCTCTCATTTTGCACACTTTTATGGCTATTATTATATAAATAAACTACAGTGTTTTTTACTCTAGAAATGGCAAGCAAATTGCTGTCTGGGGGCTCAGACCAAGAAATGTTGTCCCAGACAGAGACAGAAGATACTGACACAGGAGAAGTTTCCTCGGATAATGTAACCGGTACTGATGCATCAGGTGCAAGCCTTACATCCCCAACCTCAGCGGAATCCTCAGAGGATTTGACTCAAGGACATCGTAACAGAAAACTCACAAATGTAAGTGTTGACCTGACTGACGTTACTGCTTTAGAGGACAATGCATCACAAGGAGAGGACAGTTTATGTGATGATGTTAATGATGGTGAAGAAGGGGGTATACATGTAGGTAGCACAAGTGATAAACAGAATTCAAAAAAGGGAACAGGTTTGATGGATATAGATTTTAGCAAAGATTGGTACAACCACAAATGTTTCAAATCATATTGGCAACACTATAATCAAGTTATGTCCTGGTGCCAAAAACACACCAAAGTTTGTGATAAACTTAGAAATAAGTCGGCAGGGAGAGGGACTGCCCCAACAAGCTCATGGGGTCCATTTTCTCAACCTTTTTACCAAAACTCGTTTCATATGCCCTCTTGGAATCATCCTTATAACTATAACCAATATAATTCAAACAAAAACACAAACGTGAAAAGAAATTCAGTGAGTCCAAATTCAAGGAATGCATGTAGGTCTAGTCATAGAAAGAGAAAAAATAAACATCGTAAACAGAAGTCAGCTAGTTCGAGTGAAGTGACATCATGTGAAACACAGACAGAAACTAGTGAAGAGTTTCAGATGGAAATATCACAGGATATGATAGATTTCTTTGCAAAAACCCAGGCACACAGAAAAGAGAGAGGTTAGTAAAAAATAAATTGTATCTTTGAGGTTTTCTATTATTCATTTAATTAATTTAAATGGACATGATGCAAATCCAAGTGAAAATGGTAAGTGAATAGTTAAAATGCAAAATAGAATGACGTTTTGCCATAAATGAGTTCAATTTAAAATTTTTGTATGAAAAAAAAATATCCTTGTGATTGATGGAAAATTCTATAGATATCATTCATATTGTATTTGTTTCACTCAATACTTACAAAGATTGGAACAGTCTTTTTATAATATAGGTTGTTTTTATATAAAATCATTGACTTTTTTCATTATCAATTTTTGGTCAATCACCATTTTAATAGTCAAACTTTTGAAATATATTTATACTTATAATTCTTATTCACTAGACAGCAAAAAAATGAACATGATGTCATAAAATGAGTTGCAATCACTCCTTTACAAGTATTCTTCATTATATATTAATATATATTAATTATTTAACTGCAGCATACTTATAACAAAGTGTGTTCATACATAAACTTGTACAATTAACAAAAGTTATGGTTCTGTGTTTTGTAGATGAGGCGAGGAAGGCAGAGAAAGATGATGAAGGTGTTGAACCTGAACATATAAATGTAGAAAATGGTAAGATAAAATATTTTTATATTGTAAATTCCTGCCAAGTTTAACCTATAACTGTGTAGGGCCAAGTAGGGGGGACCATATGGTTTGGATCACAGATGACTGATGATTTCCAATCACATATTAAGTTGAACATTCCTAGCTACCTTAGGTGGTGGTTCTATGCAGTTGCCAACATATGCTTGAAAATTGTTCATCTATATTTATTCATTAAACTTTAAAAGTTTTACAATGATATATTCTCTTTAAATTCAATAGTGCCATGTAATAATCTTTTTCACTTAAATGAAAGTGAAGTTGTTATAAGAAGTATTTCATTTAACTAAAGTTATGTCATTATTATATTTCTTTTTAACTAAACTTGCTGTTTAACTTTAGTTGTTGCATCATAAAGGTTCATTGTATATTATTCTATAAACCTTAAGTTGTGTTGTGATGTATTCTTTTTGCCATGATTTATTGCATTTACATTCACCATTCAGTTGATTATGAAGAGATAAATGTATGTATTCCTTTACTTGAAATTAAAGCTGTAGTCCTCCAGATGAAGCAAAATCAGAAAATCAAACTTGAGAAAAATGTACTAAAATGACCTTTTTTTTTACTGCATGACCATAGCAGTAAGGACTGTTTTGCATGTTTGACCTCTTAAATTTATGTGGATTGTAAGTGCTGTTAAATTACTTTCTTTGTTTACTTCATAATATTTTACTTTTCAATACATTTTCAAAATTTTCATGAAAAAATTAGCACGAACCTGGAGGCATGCTGCTTTAAATGAAAGCATGAATATTTCAATATAACAAGTATAAATGTTATTTTAATATTTTCAGTGAAAGTCACTGAAACAAGAGCACCAACAGTGGAGGCACCAAAGGAAAGACCAGGTGCCAAAAGAACAGCTGAAATGAAGTTATTATATGGTAAAGGGGCTCCAATGATTCATGGTATGGAAACTGCACTACAAATGACATATGACAGGAATGTGGACTTGAAACAGCCAAAAACATGGCCAAATATGCCTCTGAGGGTTATTTTTGGTTAATATTCTCATTTTAAAGGGACTCCACTGAGGTTTGTTGTGGTGATGGGACTGCAAACAATTTGTTCAAGATAATTTTCCATTTGATAGAATCTAAGCCAATAACTTGTGTGCAAAATTTTAGATCATTCGCTTACTCCATTTTTTCCAGAACAATTATTCTAACTGTGAAAAATGACCCAAAATTTAAAAGTGTTGCAATGCTTTTTACTTTATCAAGCTATCAATAGCACAAAAATATGATTCTCAATGTAATTCTGAGTGAATTTTATAATTATATTTGCATATCTTACCCTTTAAAGTTTCCCACCTGATCTTTTGAGGAAATTAAAATTTTATGTTTTTAGGCTTTTTGACCTCAGTGGAGTGCCTTTAAATATCACAAAATGTTTTAATGCTCTGGGATCATTTTTATGAATGATTAAGGGATATCAAGCTATATCTAATGAAATATTTTGTTAAAAATTTATTAATGGTAAAATGCTGTTGTTTTCTAATCCTTTGATACATGCAGATCATAAAAGAGTTGTAACATTTAATATCTCTGTTATTTAACACATATGTACATGTATATTGTAGACAAACAAGGAACAAAATATTATTCTGCCATTTTATGTAAGATTTTAACTGTTTTATGTAAGCACCATTTGCTCTTGAAAAAAAATATGCAAATATATTTCCTTTATATATTTTGGGATTATTTTTTTTCCATAATGATTTACAATTAGGATTTTGATAATAGTATAAATTACGGAAACTAACGAAAAACCTCATGAAAATTAATGAGCTCAGGTCAATATTGCCGAACATTATCTTCTATATAAAGATATCTACTATTGGATCATGTATCACACACATGCCAACAACATATTTCTTTTCTGATTCCTTGTCATGTTTAATATTATATTTGCCAATCAGTAAATCTGCTAAATTCTGGTAACAGGTGCTTGTGATGTCATCAGTCAACTTGTCTATACAATCTAATGCAGATTATTTATTATACATGTATTACAAACCTTCCATTATAGACCAATTCACTTTATGATATTAAGGGCAGTAAGGATTGTACTTAAAATGGACATTCTTAATTCACAGCAGAACATCTCCACTATGCAAATATAGAAGGGTAAAAGATTTTAAATGACCTGTAAGCTAAGCATTTCTAACGATTTTTTTTTCAATTTCATACATTTAACATATTATAAGTAAGTTACTTATTAAGTATTAATCATGTAAAATAGAGATATTCTAGATTATTATGAGAAACTACTGCAAAACATGTGCAATAAAACCACCTGTTAAGTTCATTGAGTCATATGAAATTATTTTTTAGAAAAAGTATGTATGAATTTAGTATGTTATTACTTTTATTTTTCATTAAGAATTTTATTTTATTGTTAGTGTGTTGTAAGAAAAGATATTCAATTTACATAATTATATTTCATGTTATTTTTACACATCAGAGAACATAACAAACATAACATTTAAAATAGTCCCTCTTGTTTTTGAGTTAGCAGTTCCAGACAGGATTCTTTTCATTGAACCTTATTCCATTTGGAAAAAAAAAACTCTACAATTATTCATATTTCTTATCGGAAAATTGCAAGAAATGTCCAAAAAAGTATTGTCCATATCCTATTTGTTTTATGTACATATAGTAGACTCAGTTTTTAAAACATTTTATTCTTCTAATATTTAAGAATTTTAAAGACATATTTAAACCTCCTTTTGGAAAAAAAATGACAAGCTTACTTGAAACAAAAGTATTGCTTTACAACTGTTTATTTTTAATTTTTACTTTTTTTTCTAGTTCAGGATCATGTCATTTAAAAAATAAAACTAAAAGGGATACAAAATTGTTAGTTTAGTTTATACAAATCTATTTTAGATTGATTGTTTTGTAAGCTATCAGATTATTGACAACTCTGGACCAACCAGTACTAAGCAATGAGTGTAAAGTTTCTTGCTCATGGAAACAATGGCTTGCTGCTGATGAGGTTTGAACCGGCCCAGCCAGCAGTCCCTAGACTAATCTGGCATGTTAACCACTCCACCATGCCACAATATTGTTACTGCTGAATCTTATGAAATGTGTTTTTATGAATGATTTAGTATGTTATAGATATCATATTACAATTACATGTATTAAAGAAATATTGTTACTGATTTTTATTGGTGTATATGAAATGATAAAAAAAATTATAAATTAAATTGAAAAGAATCATGTTTGTTGAAAATCTTTTGATTTTTGTTGTTGTTGAATACTAAAAGGTTGAACAATCTTGAATGTTTATGCTTTCGTTATGCTATAAGCATTGTTTTTAAATCCTTTTGTTACCAAATTGATGGATTGTTTTCTTATATGTAGTTAACAGATTAGAAAGTTCTGTCATAAAAATGTTTAAGTCCTACCCCTTGTGACCTATGTTCCTGACCTGGCAGAAATGTTCAAATTTTGCAGGTGAGAAATCTGTCCAGCATACTGTTGCGTGGTTTTACTATAAAGGTTACTTTCACTAAGCTAATGAACTGTTAAAGCTATGCATTTTAAGCAATGCACAAAAAAGCTTACATTTTTTCTCAACCACTAAGTTGAAATGTGTGACATTGGCTATGCATATGTGATTTTCATCACATCGTATCAAATAAATAGAAAATAAGTAAAGAATGCAACTACATGCACATGGATGTTAAATAGAAAAATTAAGTAATTTTAGCTCCAGGGTTGTGCTTTTATGATCGCATTATATCTGTACTTTCTTTTCCTACAACTTCACATGAATGATCCTTTGGTGACACCCTACAAAAGTTAGATACTAGTAGTTCTGGTCAGATGCAGAGGTAGGTAACGGGAATCTACTGAAAATAGACTTAAAATGAAATCTTCCAAATTCTCTCCCTTGAAACTATGTCAAGCGTTTGACTTGTAGGATCACTTTGTATAATTCTTTACAAGTTATATAAATTATGGCACTATGGAAAAAATAAACGCCACCTTTGGGGTTTCAAATTTTACATAAATTTTCAAGATGAGGAATTTCTATGCTCTTCTTGTCCATAATATCATGATCTAGAATTTAGGTGGCACATGGCGTTGCCTTGTGGATCTCTATTAAACTTAAACCAATGTAAAAAAAGCTACAATTTTACACATTAGATTATTTATGCTTTGAAAACATAATACATTTTACAGCAATGCATCTCAGGTGGACAATTTAGGTCTAGAATGGTCATCTTGTTAATTTTTTGTCTTAAATGTAAGTCATGTGCAGAAGTTATCAGTTCCTTGCAAAAGTGATAGCAACTAGTACTTGGTAAATTGCTTAACAGTCTGCCCTGGAACGATGCGGTGGCTTGTAAATTTAATGTGGTATACGGCCGTGATCCGGAGGTTAAACTATCAACACCACCACCTCCAAAGAAGCTCCTGGGGTGAGCGTTAGAGGGTCATCAATCCATGTTTTTGTTTTGTTTGTTTTTTTAGCTCACCTGTCACAAAGTGACAGGGTGAGCTTTTGTGATCACTTTTCGTCCGGCGTCCGTCCGTCCGTCGTCCGTCCGTCGTCCGTCCGTCCGTCCGTCCGTAAACTTTTACTTTAAATGACATCTCCTCATAAACCACTAAGCCAATGTCATCCAAACTTCACAGGAATGTTCCTTTGGTGGTCACCTTTAAAAATTGTTCAAAGAATTTAATTCCATGCAAAACTCTGGTTGCCATGGCAACCGAAAGAAAAAACTTTAAATATCTTCTTTTAAAAAACCATAAGAGCTAGAGCTTAGATATTTGGCATGAAACATCTTCTAGTGAGTGTCTACCAAGTTTGTTCAAATAAAAGCCCTGGGGTCAAAATTGGCCCCGCCCCGGGGGGTCATTGATTTTCCCTATATGCATATAGTAAAAACTTAAAAAATCTTCTTTTAAAGAACCCAAAGAGCTAGAGCTAAGATATTTAGCATGAAACATGTTCTAATGGGTGTCTACCAAGTTTGTTCAAATAAAAGCCCTGGGGTGAAAATTGGCCCCGCCCCGGGGGTCATTGATTTTCCCTATATGCATATAGTAAAAACTTAAAAAATCTTCTTTTAAAGAACTCAAAGAGCTAGAGCTTAGATATTTGGCATGAAACATCTTCTAGTGAGTGTCTACCAAGTTTGTTCAAATAAAAGCCCTGGGGTCAAAATTGGCCCCGCCCCGGGGGTCATTGATTTTCCCTATATGCATATAGTAAAAACTTAAAAAATCTTCTTTTAAAGAACCCAAAGAGCTAGAGCTAAGATATTTAGCATGAAACATGTTCTAATGGGTGTCTACCAAGTTTGTTCAAATAAAAGCCCTGGGGTGAAAATTGGCCCCACCCCGGGGTCATTGATTTTCCCTATATGCATATAGTAAAAACTTAAAAATCTTCTTTTAAAGAACTCAAAGAGCTAGAGCTTAGATATTTGGCATGAAACATCTTCTAGTGTGTGTTTACCAAGTTTGTTCAAATAAAAGCCCTGGGGTCAAAATTGGCCCCGCCCCGGGGGGTCATTGATTTTCCCTATATGCATATAGTAAAAACTTAAAAAATCTTCTTTTAAAGAACCCAAAGAGCTAGAGCTAAGATATTTAGCATGAAACATGTTCTAATGGATGTCTACCAAGTTTGTTCAAATAAAAGCCCTGGGGTGAAAATTGGCCCCGCCCCGGGGGGTCATTGATTTTCCCTATATGCATATAGTAAAAACTTAAAAAATCTTCTTTTAAAGAACTCAAAGAGCTATGGCTAAGATATTGAGCATCAAACATGTATTAATAGGTGTCTACCAAGTTTGTTCAAATACAAGCCCAGGGGTCAAAATTGGCCCCGCCCCGAGGGTCATTGATTTTCTTTATATGTGTTTAGCAAAAACTTTAAATCTTCTTTGAAAAAACCCAAATAGCTAGAGTTTAGATATTAAGCATGAAACATCTTCTAGTAAGTGTCTACAAAGTTTGTTCAAATAAAAGCCCTGGGGTCAAAACTGGCCCGGCCCCAGGGATGTTATTGTTTTTAACTATATAAGTATAGTAAAAACTTTAAAAAAATCTTCTTTTAAAAAGCCCAATGAGCTAGAGCTTAAATGTTTAGCATGAAACATCTTCTTATGGGTGTCTACCAAGTTTGTGCAAATAAAAGCCCTTGGGTTAAATTGGCTCTGCAACGTTGGGGGGGGTGGGGGTTGGGGGGCCTATATACAGGTGAGCGACCTCAGGGCCATCATGGCCCTCTTGTTTTTGGTTTTGTTTGTTTTTTTGTTTTTGTTTTTTTAACGATTACTTTGGAAGTAATGTAACAGTTTCATATATAGTTACTGCCACTAAAATCTTTACAATTATTACGGTTAACTTCCTCTTTTTCACCCATTGGTAAATAACTTTAGTAATAAAAATGTATCCTGGATTTAAAATTTATACCGGAATTAATGTTAAGTTGTTAAATAACCCTAGCAATCATTTGCTGGGAAGATCCGTTTTTAAGAGTACCACATATTCTAACTTGTAATAAATAGCTTTCACATGCAGATCTAATTTTATTGTAGTGCATTATATACATGTAGATATGTGCCGTTCATGAAAAAACTTGATATAAATTACATTGGAGTACCTATTGATTTAGATATTTACATTTTAAACGAAAGATATATTATGGATACGTCACAGATAGAAAAAAAGCTAAAAGATAAAGAACGTTGTCATTGGATATTAAAATGTTGCAAAAATTAAACTATACATGACTATGGTTATAGTTGAACAGTATATAAAATATATACTTAAACATTATAATAATTGCTTAATAAGCTAATGTGATCGGATTACGTGTGTCCTGGCAGCTAGCCTAATTTTTGATCAAGATCGCTTAAATTGAATAGATTAACTTCATTTCTATTACAATTTATACCTTTTTATTGTCACATTCGGAATAGAACAATACAATTCGTTTAAGCCGTTTTTAAGTCAACTTTCCGAACATTTTGGTTTAACCGATTCAGGGATATTGCTATAGGTGGAAAGCAGTTGGTAGTTTCAGGGGAAAATAAAGGAATTGTGTGAAGTTTTTTATTTTATTATAGGGTATTGTGGCAACTTAAAATAACTTCCAGTTTTTGTAGAAACGAGGATGTTTTTGGAGATATGAAACTTTTATTGAATTACAGGGAATATCAGTGGCTGTAAATAAAGGAAAGTGTCACTTTGCATTTCATAGGTCTTGTAGACCACATATTTTGTAGGAGAAATTGGAAAAAAAAAAATAAGAACGTTAAATTATGTTGCCAAGCGACGTAAAATTGCTTATTGCATTTGATATTGGAACTACACAGAGTGGTTATGCATATTCTTTCACGAGCAAACCGGGCGAGATTAACACGTGCAGTTTTAAAGGAAGACCACCAAACACGAAAACTCAAACATCTTTAATGGTAAACAAAGGTATCGTTGAAAGTTTTATCAATATGATTTCTTTCATTTTACATTTCTTTAAGTCATGATTTTCAAAATATCGTCTTCAGCACATATTTCTAATAGTACGTATACATTACAAATACGTATACATGTAATGTATAAAGGAATTTAAGATAACCTTTTTATTATTTAACAGATTATACATTTACGTAAACATTTATTTTTCCCCTTTATTTTTAAACAAATAACATTTGATTAGATACATGTATGTCAAAAAAGTTTCTTTTATCTCTCTGATAAGATCTACAAAATGTATATAGCTAATAAATCCTATACATTTGTTCATTTTACTCTAAAGTTTAAAACTTCTTATGTCAGATTATCGGTAATGTACTATGGCTATATTTAAGTACATAATGAGAATTATTCTCTATTGTATTGACATTGCAATTGTTACCAAACGATTACTTCTGTAAAAGAATGAGACCCGGATGTGCACGTGCATTCGCATCCGGAAGTATTTATAACTACAAGCTTTTGTTTTCTTGGTTCAAGTTTTCTTTGTAGTCCATCTGGCTGTAACAAAATGTTGGTTTCAAATTATTTTAGCGGGAAAACTTGTATGCTATGGCCAGGAAGCAGAAGATAGATTTTCTGAGATGTGTGAAGCAGACGACATGTCTTGTAGACTGTACCGCAATTTCAAGATGGCGATACACCATAACCCCGTGAGTGCTTTGGCCCTTTTACCTCCATCTTAATGCATGCCCTATCATAATATACTTCAGTACTTATATTTAAAAAAAAACTCATAAAGTTAGAGATTAATCTTCTGAATTTCAAAAACTGTATTGGAATAGCCATTATCAATTTTAGTGATAGATCTATGTATAATCATACCGAGAATTTGAAAGCTGGTCAACCAATAGTATGGAAGAGCCTGATCACACGGCCAGATATGAAGGCTGGTACAACATTATATTGGTGGCAATGGCTAATCACTTTCAGTTGAATTATTTTAAACTTGTAGATATTTTTTAACAGACAACTGCGTTCAGAGAATTTTTTATGAATTATTTTCAATTGCCCACTTGGTGTCCCATTTGAATATTTATTCAAAGATCTTTGTAAATGTGTATAGTTAGTTCTAATCTCAAGTAAAGTGTTTGGTGCATGTAATCATATATCGATATAAATTTATTTTTCATCCTGCACATAAAAGAGCACGTTTTGAGGACATTGGGGTAGATTTATCAATGTAATAAATAAATAATTAAATAAATCAATAAATATTCCACAGCAAATTAGTACATTATAATTAAAATATGTGTTTGTATTCCAGACTTTGAATAAATCAACGAAAGTCCAAGACATCTCCGGCCAGCATAGCATGCCTGTATTCGACTTACTTGTCATGGCATTACAGTACCTGAAAAATCACGTGATGCGCGCGGTTAACCGGTTTTCTGACACGTACAACGAAGACGATGCGTTCTTTGTGTTGCTTGTACCAGCAATATTTGATGACAGGGCAAAATGGCTAATGAGAGAAGTAGCGTTAAAGGTAAATAAGATTCAGAAAAAAATACGGTTCTTAAAGAATCATAATTGGAAAAAAATGTATATTGATACATTATACTAGGTTCACATGACTTTCTTAGAAGATTATAACTTTGATTTATAAAGCTTTTTCATGCATTTATACATTGGAGAGAAAACAAGTAAATCTTGCCAAGTTCGGCAAGTGTTTTCAGGATTTTTGAAGTTTTACTATTTGTATCGTAAAAACTTTAAAAAGTGCTTTCTTAGACTGTTTTTTACTGTGTAATAGTATTTTTCTGAAAAATATTACCAGAAAGCATTTGAAAATTTTGATGATTTATGAAGAATATTACTCTATATATAACCTTCTCATGTATAATAAATAGCACGGTTAAAGCGAACTTCCACTTAGCATGTATATATTTGTCTTTTCCAGTCAGGTATACGTTCAGAGAGGTTCACGATGGCTCTAGAGTCGGAAACAAGCTCGCTCTGGTGTTTACATGAAAATATAAATGGTATCAAACCAAAAGGTACTAGATTCATCACAGTGGATCTTGGTGGTATGTTGTTTTTTATGGTCGAATTTCAAATAAAGTAATATAATACACGTGTAGTGTAATGTTAAGGAAGTTTATAACGTTCGAATAGGATACCATGACTTTTATTTCCAGTTATGGTTCATGTTAAATGACATGTAAATCACAATAATAATGAAATCAATGATCAAATAAGGTTGTTTGTAAAGTAAACGTTTTTGCGCATCCGTTGTCACAGCAAACTTGACTATACAATGTATATAGCGCGAACCGTGTTGTGCCGAGTTGCTAATATTCCGTCACATGTAAGACCGCGAATATTTCAAGCGACTTTATTGGCACTATAACTCAGTTTAAATTGAAATTACAAAGAAATGACACAGTATGATGGATAAATAGCTTTGTTTTAGCTTCTTTTTTTAAAAAATGATCTTAAGTTCTTTGTAACGAACCATTTTATACCGTTGTCATAAATTTTCAGTGAGAGAAAATTTGCTATTTCAGGTGGTACAGCAGACATAATAGCCCATGAATCACAGGGTGACGGCAGTGTGGAATCTTTGCAATCCCCGTGTGGTGGGGACTGGGGCGCTGTGAATGTCGACAACTGTTTTAAATCTTACCTCTCCTTGCTGTTTGGTACACAAGCTGTTGATGATCTCATAAAACAGAATCTTCACGAGTGGTACAAACTTATGAAGAGCTATGAATCCTACAAAGTCTCAAAAGCAGCAGACATGAAACTTCACATTCCGCTGAGTTTAAAGTCGTCTGCAGTGGATAATAAAGGTCTTCATGGAACTGCAGAACTTGCTGAACTTATCAAGTCACCAAATTTTGGGGGTCATTTCAACATGGTCGGCGAAACTTTAGAGATTGACGATGAAGCAACGAAAGGAATGTATACGTACACGGTGAATTGCATTATGGGGAAAATTGAGCAGCTGGTACAAAGAGGCGTGGTTACTAACAAGAATGTCGATCACGTGATCATTTTAGGGGGTCTCGTAAATAATGACATGATAAAAAGTATGCTTAAGGAAGCGCTGAACAGATACAGTTTGGTATTTCCCGACAATGGTGAAATGTTTGCAGCGAAAGGAGCAATATTGTACGGTCACAAGAAGTCCCTCGTCAGGTCACGGGTCATCCCGTTAACGTATGGTATCAAAACAACAGTGCCATACGATGAGAAGAAACATTGCGACTCGCAAGTAAAACTTATCAATGGTGTTAAAATGTGTACGGAAAACTTTCACGTCCTGATAAAGGCAGAAACAAAAGTAAACGTGGGTCATGAGGTGAAAGAACTTGACAAACCTCTGGTTGCAGACGATAAAGAACAAAATTTCGAAATATTCTCCTGTGGGTCTGCAGACGACATTCCAACGCTTACGTCACATTTTACTGTGCACAAAGAAGCCTCGTTTTCAATTCCACTTCCTTATGGGTGTCTGGTGGATGATAAAGTTTTTGAGCGTTGCGTTATTTTAGGAGAACCAGAAATTGTGTTCAGGTTAAGTTTTAAGAAAGGGAAGAAAGATATATTCATAAAACATATGGAATATATTTGAAATAGGAACAAAATTGTATAAACAAAATGGAAATTAACTACATCTGTAAATTATTTTCATATTAAATTATACTTAATGGACGTCTAAAATGATATCAAGTATATATCAGTTTTAAGTAACTGTGCTAATTATTACCTCTTGTGAGCTGACTATTCTACATGCTAAAATCATAAATGAAAGTCTACATCAAATTATCATTGCATCCCGATTCTTTCCGTTTCTACAGATACCATGAAACAAAAAAAAAACTTTCTCGGCCGTTAGGCCTTGAAGCTAAGCACCCTGTTTTCTTTACAGACGTATACTTTTCTAAAGTACATGTAGCTGAAGGCATCCTCACCAAAATTTACAACTTAGAAACAAATTAAACTTCATGCATGAATTAAAATTACTTGAATTAAAATTTATTTGTGAAAACATAGCTGTTGTTGTGTTGTAGGTTTATATTTATGTTGGCTTACTGGCTTTAAATGGCAAAGATAAGCTCTTGTTATCAAATAATTATCAAGTATGATATCATGGCGTTGGCCCAAGACACATGGTGCCCAGATGCACGCTTAACACAACAGTTAGGTCACGGGACGGTTTCTTCCATTAGTACAAATACATTGTACAATCGTATTTTGCTAAAATACACAATATCCCGGACAATTGTGTTAGATGTATACGCTGCAAATTGACTCATTCAGCAGCTTACAGGCTTCGGTTTAAGGCACTTGGTGCCGTCCTACGGCATTAGATGGCAGATGCACACATGACATGTCCTCTTGACGTACTTTCGTAAAAAAACACCATTTTCCAGAACGCATTTCCATCCCCAAATGGTGTAAGAATTCAGAGGCTCCCACATGCTCCACACCGTATTACAGGCGCCAGTGATGGCAGATTGCTGCAGTAATGAGTTATCTAAAATTTACTAATAACTACAGGTAGGTTGTAAACTTGAGAAGTAATTTATATTACGCAAATAAGGCCAGTTTCATTGCTGTAGACTTGTTGTCCATTGACTAGAGATACTAACAGTCATTCTGGACTCGTTTCCCCATTTCATAAAATATACATTGTATCAATCTTTAATCGGCAATTTTCTTGGGGCTTTGTAGTGTAGTAGAATTAAGTATCAAAATTAACTTCCATGTTCACATTTTACATACACTGTACAATGTAAATTCAATAAAAAGGAAAACTTGACTTGTGTGTAAAACGTAAATGTCACTTCCTTGTTTCAGTTATTAGTTTTTTTATTTATAATTCATAAAGTTCGTCAAGTTTCTATTACTTTACTTTTAATTCCCCTTGTGGCTGAGAAGTTGCCTTCTGTTAGTGATTTATCTAGGACAACTAGAACTGCCACTATCATGGCGTGAATACCTTGACCTTTGATCCAGTGACCTCAAAATCAAAAGGGGTCATCTACTTATCATGATCAACATCCATGCCAAATATGAAGACTGTGGGTCAAAGGAATCTAAAGTTATTGGGAAGACAAACTTTTTGAAGTCAGAGTCCCTGTGACCTTGACCTTTGACCTGGTGACCTCAAAATCAATAGGGGTCATCTACTAATCATGACTAACCTCCATGCCAAATATGAAGACTGTGGGTCAAAGGAATCTTAAGTTATAGGGCGGACAAGCTATTTGAAGTCAAAGCCCCTGTGACCTTGACCTGGTGACCTCAAAGTCAATAGGGGTCATCTACTAATCATGACTAACCTCCATGCCAAATATGAAGACTGTGGGTCAAAGGAATCTTAAGTTATTGGGCGGACAAGCTTTTTGAAGTCAAGGCCCCTGTGACCTTGACCTTTAACCTGTTGACCTCCAAGTCAATAGGGGTCATCTACTTATCATGACTAGCCTCCATGCCAAATATGAAGACTGTGGGTCAAAGGAATCTTAAGTTATTGGGCGGACAAGCTTTTTGAAGTCAAGGCCCCTGTGACCTTGACCTTTGACCCAGTGACCTCAAAGTCAATAGGGGTCATCTACTAATCATGACTTGCCTCCATGCCAAATATGAAGACTGTGGGTCAAAGGAATCTTAAGTTATTGGGCGGACAAGCTTTTTGAAGTCAAGGCCCATGTGACCTTGACCTATTGACCTCAAAATCAATAGGGGTCATCTACTAATCATGACTAACCTCCATGCCAAATATGAAGACTAAGGGTCAAAGGAATCTTAAGTTATTGGGCGGACAAGAAAAAACCGACGGACAGCCGGACAAGCTGATTCCAGTATACCCCCCTTACAACTTTGTTGTGCGGGGGTATAAATAGATCAAAACCGTATCAATACATGTTCCACTTTATTAGCTTTGTCAGTTGATACATAAAGGAAAGTGATTTATCTATGAAGTTATGCCCGAGACAAAAACTTAGTACAAGAGGAACAAGATGGCCGTAGATCGCTCACCTGAAATCCATTTCTAGAAAATGCAGAAATAATATGATCATATTGGGCGTGTAATTTTTTACCCTTCATGCAAGACAAAAACAGCAAGTCAAATATTCAAGCTTTAGGCATTATTGTGTGGCGGGTGACCGAGGGACGGATATTCCGATCCGAACCGCAAACATATGTCAGATATTTTTTCTTGTATATTCTACCATATTCCATTATATTTTAAATTCTTTATCTTTATTTTCAATGAAAATTTATATCATTACAACCGTAACTACTTTCATTCAACAGCGTATTAATTACAAAATAATTCATAACGGTAAAATGACGTCATCTTTATCGTGCCATTGTACAGCACGCGACTCATCTGGAACCCCTATGCCAGATGAAATTTCCGGCATGGGTAAAACTAACGGAAACGCCAGTCTGATATGCAAGAAAACAACAATATCATGAATATTAGGCCTTCCGATCTCACTATACATGGGTGAAAAAAACCACAACAAAGAGCCACATGTTCAATACAACCTTCAACTTTTATTTGCAAATAACTTGAGTCTACAAGTATACATTCACTGATTATTTCTACAAACACTATATAATCATTATACATGTTTACAAATTAAAAGCACTAAAATGTTCACAAAAATTAAAAATAATTCGATTAAAAGACATGTAATATCACAGTTCATATTAATACATACCGTATATAATGTATTCATAAATGAGAGGTGCTGGAAAAGTACCTTAAACGCAAGTTTTGGGTTTTTTCCCCCCCCCCCCCTTTTTTTTAAAAAATTTTTTTTAAAAAAAAATTTTGGGAAAAAAAATAAAGGGGGGGCCCAAAAAAAAAAATAAAGGGAAAAAAAAAAAATTTTTTTGGGAAAAACAATTTTGCTATTTTTATTTACCCGTTTTTTTTTTTTTAGCTTTTATTATTATTTTGAAAAGACTTATAACAAGTGATATGGCAAGATGTTTCCTCCCTATATCACCAGCTCAGGTAACGTATATTTACAACCATTTATTACATACAGCCACATAACTAGATCAAAACTCTTCGTAACTTATATCTTACCAAAGAATCATTCATTTTATCGTCACATCTCTTTAACATAAATAAAGCATGAAAAACGTGTCCAGATACTTTTCACACCACTCGTAATTACCGGTTTGTTACATTTTTAATTGGTCATTATAAAAAAGAATTGAGCTGCGTCAAGACAAAACCAACATAATGGGTTTGCGACCATCATGGATCCAGACCAGCCTGCGCATCCGCGCAGTCTGATCAGGATCCATGCTTTTCGCTTACCAGTAGAGAAACTGATAGCGAACAGCATGGATCCTGATCAGACTGCGCAGGCTGGTCTGGATCCATGCTGGACGCAAACCCATTATGTTGGTTTTGTCATGACACAGCTCAATAATTTTTGCATTGAAAAAGTATCTTAACAAGACCACCACATGTAGTTGTAACGCTCGTCTGTTGAACATTATAAATTAAAAAGGGGCATAACTCTACAAAAATTGCTTGCAGAATCATGCCCCTTGTCTTACAATCACACCTTGTCATGATAAGCAAGTATTCCAAGTTTCTTGTTGTTACCTTTTGAAATGTTTGAGTAATAGGCTACATTGAAGTTTTTGCATGACAACAACGCCACAACGATCATAATATCTAGTCTTTTTCTTTGAAACAGACAAGCTAAAAATAACATTAACATGACAGACATGTATGAATTGATAAATGCTTCCGTTAAGTACAATGCATTAGATAAATAAAGAGGGAAGACTTGCCCATTCTTTTCCCGAATTTAAAGACATTACAATATGTACATTTCATTTCAATAAATTTCAATTTCTTTTTTTCTCGTTCATTGAATTGCTTTGTGGGTACATGCAGTTGTTTAAAATAGAAAACATGCAAAAATTGTCTCCTTTTTTCCCTACTTAATAGTTAAACATAAAAATATACATGTATACACAGGTAATAAAATATATTATTGTACAATACATACAATAGTAATGAAGAAAATGACAAAGTTAATAAAATAAAAAAATCATTCTTAAATCAATAAACATTTCTTTCAGAAAAATCATTTAACAACAGTTATTATACCTCGCGTAAACTTTTTACTAAATAGCCTTATGTGATGTCACATGGTGTTATTTCTTATTGAATATCACCCTTTCAATATTTTTTTTGCAATATTCCCCAGGTGCAAGTAATCTATATAGACTTAAGAATAGGTAATGTCCTAGTTGTCTCCCCTGAAAAATTACATTAAAATGTGGGTGGAATAATTCGGCTCCACTTCTCTGGTTGCTAATATTCACTATTACCCTAAGACTAAGAGACATGTGTTATATTTATATTATTCTAAACCCTTTACAGTCAATATACCTTTGCTATTTAGTGTCTTGTCAAATTTCTTTGGACAAATATAAAAAATCCAAATACTTTATACATGTTTTCTACACACATACAAAAATGTCAAAGTAACTTATTTCATACATATAACTTTTTTTGGCAGCTGGACCAACACTAAGGGTTGTTCGATGATTTTTCCATCTTGAATAGATATTTGTCATATTTCAAAATATAAATAATTTCCTTGGGTTTCAAGGTAGTCTTACAGATGTTTATGGTATTCGTTGTTTATTACAGAAAAAAAGATACATTAAAGGCACAGTTTGCCTCAGAAACTTAAAATTTTTCGTTCTTTAAAAAGGTAAAAAATGTAAACAAAGCAGTAATTTGAATTAAATACAAAATACTAAATCACTATATTTTTAGTTAAGGAAATTGCTCAATGAGCTTTTTGGAAATTAAACCAGGACACAATAACCTCCCCCCCCCCAAAAAAAAAAAAACAAAAACAAAAACAATTAACACTCTCTGCAATTTTTCTCTTATTCTATCATGATGTACATTCTTACTAAAGAGAAAGTGGCATATCTAACACAACATACTACAAGTAAAACAGTAGACTATAAAACACTTCAGTATGAGATGACAATTGCCATTAAATACAGTCCCTGAATGATTTAAAACTGGCTAAGCACTGGTTAGATTAGATATAACCTGTGAGTAACTGTGTTACATTTACGACGTGTTCTTAATAATTTTTCAGTTAAGTTTGGATTTTACACTAACACATTTTTGGTTGTATCTTGGCAGTCTAACCAGCTTTCCTGGCTGCCTGAGGCTGACCTGTAATCATGGTCTCCAAAAGTGAACAAACTTTTTTCTTAAAACATCATAAATTTCACAATATTATTATAGTTACTCACATGTTATTTCTAAAAACATGACTAGCAAAATTGATTTGTTTCATAGTGACTATAACTTCTGCTACATATGCAATTACATGGACAATAGTCTTTGTGTGATAGTGACAAACTGAATTCACTAAATTTGTATAATGAACTTGTCCAGATCTGAATCTGGAACTATCCAATGTTATATATGAGGGGGTTTTGCTATCTTAATGTTAAAATTGAGCTGCCAATAGTGTAGAAAGCCTGGTCACACTGAATAAATGAGCCGCGTCATGACAAAACCAACATAATGGGTTTGCGACTAGCGTGGATCCAGACCAGCCTGCGCATCAGCGCAGTCTGATCAGGATCCATGCTGTTTGCTTACAAACGCTATAACAAGTAGAGAAACTGATAGCGAACAGCATGGATCCTGATCAGACTACGTGGATGCGCAGGCTGATCTGGATCCATGCTGGTCGCAAACGCACTATGTTGGTTTTGTCATGCGGGGCTCAAATAAATTCGCAGACTAGCCTTGTCTCCATACTGGTGATATAGCCAAGTCAATTTTGTCTCTAGCAGATCGTGTTAATATTTTCAATAGTCCACCATTTTCTCCATTTACGGTAGACATTATTATTTTCTCTTTTTTTACAATAGTTCAATGTACCCTGTCACATATTAATCCATGTATAGATGTAACCATTTGTCCAAAGTTCTGATACCATTTAGCAAGGTAATACATTTAATTAAAATAAAATCTGCAAATAGAAAAAAGCAAAATTTAATAACATTTTAATACCCTTAAAGATATAGAACAAAATATCTTAATTTTATAATTTCTAAAATAACTAACTAGAATTAGTAATAACCAATTTTCTCCGCAAGTCACTGACTACTTATCGCACGTTTTTGAATCAGCAGTGATAGCCATATGACCATAAGACTTGATGTGTTTGAACAATTGTCAAGTCAGCCGAAGTTTGAACCAGTGACCACTGAATTACTAATCAGATGCTCTTCATATTGAATTAAGTGGATCAGACATTAAAAAGTGTTTTACTGGCCATGGGCAAGAGTATGGGTTAGGTTAGAAATGGAAACAGTTACCCCCCCCCCCCCTCCCCAACACCCCCCTGGGTATTTTATGGGAACATGTAGTTTTGAAGATAAGAAGACAGTTGCAACTTGTTGTCTAAAACAATATAAAGACACAGGTCAATGTGAATTATCTGCCCCTGGAACAAATTATTAATCATACTATGTCTGTTTTACCAACTGCTAATTTCGTCTTAAGTTGATAAGGATTTTATCACTGCATCACTGTGACTATGACCTTCTGACCTCAAATGAAGATCATCCACTGGCCATGGACAATGTCCCCACTAAGTTAAACAAAGTTAGGCTTATTTCTTCCCTTGTTATTTATCGGACATTATACATAGTGACGGACAGACAAACAAACAATCTCAACAAATAAAACTCAGCAAACAAATATATAGAACATAGTTTGACAGTACAGATGTGCAGACTTGCCTTTCTCAAAGTTGGTGGCACAGATCTATTGGTATTAGCAAGTAAATGGTTAATCTACAGCGTTGATAGAATGTGTTGCTCAATTACAAAAATATTTTCCTATCCTAAACAATGTCACTGTATCACATTCCATTTTAACTACTTACATTTTGTTTTTTGCTGCTACTTAATGACATGACTTAAGTCAAGATGCTCGTCTGATTTCATCTTTATAATATTTTTGTATTTGCATTTCAAATGAATCTGCAATCGCTTTCCTGAAATTATAAAAAAAAATTGAGAAATTTCAAAAATTTGAATTAAGAAGGGAAATCTTTTTTTATTTTGTTTTTTATTATGGTGAACTACATACTAAATAAACTTGTTCTTCAGGTCGAAAAAACATGATATCAATGAAAAATTAGTGTACTATTCTTATCAAACATGTCAATAAATGTTTTGAATAAAATCATAAGGAGTTCCATGTACAGTAAAACCCTTTATATTTGCCCTGGAGCAGTCAAAATAATGTACAGTAAAACCCTTGGAATTGGCCCTGGAACAGTCAAAATAATGTACAGTAAAACCCTTGGAATTTGCCCTGGAACAGTCAAAATAATGTACAGTAAAACCCTTTATATTTGCCCTGGAGCAGTCAAAATAATGTACAGTAAAACCCTTGGAATTTGCCCTGGAACAGTCAAAATAATGTACAGTAAAACCCTTTATATTTGCCCTGGAACAGTCAAAATAATGTACAGTAAAACCCTTGGAATTTGCCCTGGAACAGTCAAAATAATGTACAGTAAAACCCTTGGAATTTGCCCTGGAGCAGTCAAAATATTGTACAGTAAAACCCTTTATATTTGCCCTGGAACAGTCAAAATAATGTACAGTAAAACCCTTGGAATTCGCCCTGGAGCAGTCAAAATATTGTACAGTAAAACCCTTTATATTTGCCCTGGAGCAGTCAAAATAATGTACAGTAAAATCCTTGGAATTTGCCCTGGAACAGTCAAAACTAGAACTATCACTAAATGTGATTAATACCCCCACAAGACTGCTTCTGAAATGAGGATGTTACTTGTAACAGAATACCTTGTAAAAGAATTGAAATATAGAGTTATGGTTGTGGGCAATTAAAGATAATTGTGGTTCTTATATGTTGCATTTCCTTTCAATGTGGTTGGCCATTGATGAAGTTTAATTGAATTACTCTGTAATAAGTCCAGAAAGACAAAGAAAAGGAACAAAGGGCAATAACTCTATAAATACTGAAGATAGAGTTATAGTTCTTGTGCACTGCACTTCCTCTTATTGTGCTTGACCATTGTATGAAGTTGTTTTGAATTCCAACCAGTATGTTTTAAGTTATGCTCCTGACAAGGAAAAGCATCAAAGGGCAGTAACTCTGTATTTTGTCAAAATGGAGTTATGGCTCTTGTGCACTGCACTTCCTTTTAATGTCCTTGACAACTGTATGAAGTTGTATTGAATTCCAAACAGTAGTTTTCAAGTTATGCTCTGGACAAGGAAAAGTAACAAAGGGCAATAACTCTGTAGTCAAGATGGAGTTATGGTTCTTGTACACTGCACTTTCTCTCAATGTACTTGACCATTGTATGAAGTTATATTGAATTCCAACCATTAGTCTTCAAGTTATGGTCCGGACAAAAAAGGCAATGGAAAAGCAACAAAGGGCAATAACTCTGTAATTACTTTAGATAGAGTTATGGTTCTTGTGCACTGCACTTCCCCTTATTGTGTTTGACAATTGTGTGAAGTTGTTTTGAATTCCAACCAGTAGTTTTCAAGTTATGCCCCGGACAAGGAAAAGTAACAAAGGGCAATAACTCTGTAATTAGTCAAGATAGAGTTATGGTTCTTACGCACTGCACTTCCTCTCAATGTGCTTGACCATTATATATAGTTATATTGAATTCAAACTATTAGTCTTAAAGTTATGGTCCGGACAAAAAAAAAGCAATGGAAAAGCAACAAAGGGCAATAACTCTGTAATTACTTTAGATAGAGTTATGGTTCTTGTGCACTGCACTTTCCCTTATTGTGTTTGGCAATTGTATGAAGTTGTTTTGAATTCCAACCAGTAGTTTTCAAGTTATGCTCTGGACAAGGAAAAGTAACAAAGGGCAATAACTCTGTAATTAGTCAAGATAGAGTTATGGTTCTTGTGCACTGCACTTCCTCTCAATGTGCTTGACCATTGTATGTAGTTATATTGAATTCAAACATTTAGTCTTCAAGTTATGGTCCGGACAAAAAAAAAGCAATGGAAAAGCAACAAAGGGCAATAACTCTGTAATTACTTTAGGTAGAGTTATGGTTCTTGTGCACTGCACTTCCCCTTATTGTGTTTGACAATTGTATGAAGTTGTTTTGAATTCCAACCAGTAGTTTTCAAGTTATGCCCCGGACAAGGAAAAGTAACAAAGGGCAATAACTCTGTAATTAGTCAAGATAGAGTTATGGTTCTTGTGCACTGCACTTCCTCTCAATGTGCTTGACCATTGTATGTAGTTATATTGAATTCCAACTTTTAGTCTTCAAGTTATGCTCCGGGCAAGGAAAATGCAACGGACGTCTTGACCGACCGACCGACCGCCCGACCTACCACCGGGTGACTCCTATATACCCCCCCAAACTTCGTTTTTGGGGGTATAATAATGTACAGTAAAACCCTTGGAATTTGCCCCGGAGCAGTCAAAATATTGTACAGTAAAACCCTTTATATTTGCCCTGGAACAGTCAAAATAATGTACAGTAAAACCCTTGGAATTTGCCCTGGAACAGTCAAAATAATGTACAGTAAAACCCTTTATATTTGCCCTGGAACAGTCAAAATAATGTACAGTAAAACCCTTGGAATTTGCCCTGGAACAGTCAAAATAATGTACAGTAAAACCCTTGGAATTTTCCCTGGAGCAGTCAAAAATATTGTACAGTAAAACCCTTTATATTTGCCCTGGAACAGTCAAAATAATGTACAGTAAAACCCTTGGAATTCGCCCTGGAGCAGTCAAAAATATTGTACAGTAAAACCCTTTATATTTGCCCTGGAGCAGTCAAAATAATGTACAGTAAAATCCTTGGAATTTGCCCTGGAACAGTCAAAATAATGTACAGTAAAACCCTTGGAATTTGCCCTGGAGCAGTCAAATTGAATATCAAGGCCCAATAATCACATAGTCGCTCACCTGAAATCTTTCCTGCCCATGATAAAACCAGATATATGTCCATGTTGTAATGTTCGTACTTGACTTCCTGGCCATATTTCACTGAGCTTCAGGTATCCTTCCACCGGGATATATTCGTCGTTCTCTGCTGTCACAATTATAATCAGTTCCGTATCTAATGGAACAGAAAAATTATCCAGATGTGTACATTCGTCCATCACTCCCTTCATAAAATGCCTGCAATCCTGAGCGAGCTGCTGTTCCACAATTTTATCTGCCGCACTGGACTTGAACCACGAAGGAAGTCCTGGCAACCCTGGTAGTTTATTTCTAATGCCCTCCAGCCACCTTAAAATATTAGAACTTGACTGGTTTGATGAATTTTCTGTATCAGCAGACTGGTTTTCCAATGGTTTTTCGCATTCAGGCTGGTCTGTGTTTGTAATTTCTGACAAGTGTGTTGACTGGTTTTCCGCTGAGTTATTAAGACTTAGTGTTGACTGAGTAGCTATTGAATCACTTAAAGTAGTAGACTGTGTCCCTGATTTATTTTGTTTGTCTAGGTCCCTTAACTCTGGCAGACGGTAATTATCTATATTGAAGATGTCTAACTTGCCACCATTATCCTTCGCATTCTTGACGTAGCTGTCTTCGAGCTCGTGAAAATATTTCCTTCCTTCACTGTACATAGAATCAGGTGTGTTCCAATACTGTAACAATAATACATCCGGTAATGTGTAAAATATCACCTCATAATTTTATAACCAAAAATATGTTTCACTGTTTTTCATTGGACAATTGCTCAGTTTATATAAAGTATATACATGGCTGCTGTTAATAAGTGAATTAATTTTCATCTTTCCAACAAACAAAGGGACTGAGCAGTATCATAAAATTGTTATATTGACTTGTTATATGTTATATGACCAGGTTTATATCACCATATAATCATGTTTTTATTACTATATACAGGGTTCCCACTCTTAGATATTTTGAAAATTTAAGGACTTTTCCAGGACTTATCAAGGACCTTTTTAGATTTTTTAAGGACTTTTTAGAAGATTGAATTTCAAGCTATTCGATTTTTTTGTCCTATGAATATTTTCATGGTAATGTTTAAAACAACATTTAATAACAATATAATACATGTAGTTCATGACATAAATCTAACTCTATCTAAGAAATACATTCAGTGTCTATAAGTAATGAAATGTACTTTGTGACAGCAACTGTTGCAGGTTGTCTGCAATTTTCATGTAATTTTGGTGTTTTTAATGCTTCCAAGGGATCACATTTTTTACAAGATATTCATAGTCCTTTAATAAGTAACCTCACATTTGACCTCAGTCCACTTAGGTGCATAGAATGACAAAAGCATGTCACACTGAAGGGTATATGAAAACTGCCTGCAGGTGTTTCTACATTAAAAATTTCACAACTTTCATGTTTAAATGTTGTACTCTGCTTAAGCCAGTGCTACGGGTTCTACAAAATATGGCAGCAGCACAAAATACCCAAACACACACAATTATAGCAATATTCATTTTGGTTTGTATACAATATAGATTTTAATGAGAAAATGAATTGATATTTTCAAAATAATGTGACTTAGCCAACTATTACTTTCATTCATTCCGTTGAAATTGGCAGTTCAGATGTTGTAAGAAAAAAAAGTGACATTTGCTTTTCTAACTGTTAGGTTCATTAATGAATAGACAAATGTACTTGCAAGATATGAGATTTGTTGTCTACATTTAAATTTGAAGGGTATAATTTTGTTGTAATTTCATACAAGTTCATTCGTATTATTTTTTTTATTTAATAGTTTTCATGGAGTATACTGTATTTGGGTATATTTTGGTTCAAAAATGAAAATTTGGGTATGTTCGATTACATCTTAGTGAAAGTGTATATTGTATTCATGATTAAAATAGCACATTTTTTAGTATAACACATTCATTTTTAGTATATTTTGGCTATACAATGTATTTGGGTATTTCGTGCTACCCAAATATGGAGTGGTCAATAGGCTGTGCTCTGCCTTGACAATAGTTCATGTATGTAATACTATTGTTTATTTTATATTGATTTACCTTTGGCTTTTAGCATGGTTGTGAGCAATTAGGATAAAAAAATTTGCCCAAAGAAACAACTAGACCTGTGAGCTTCCATCTTAGCACGGGCCAATCAAGCAAACTTGAGGTCGATTTGTGACTGTCTTATTAGAGTTTCCAAACAAAATCGCCATAGTAACCAGAAAATAAATGTTTAATCTCATAAATGTCAAACTTGGCCACCCAAAACACTTGTAAATCGAAAAATCATCAACATTCATGATGCGGAAGTAAATGTAATGTGCTTAGACCGCCATTTTGGTTGTTTGATTTACCTCCCCTTTACCAGACTAATTCCCGTACCTTCCCGGACTTTTTTATGTATTAACACTAAATCCCGGACTTTTCAAGGCCGGGAGCTCCTGTTTTCAAATTCACGGACATTTCCCGGACAGCGTGGGAACCCTGTATATAATCTTTGCTTAGTGGCTCGGATTATATAAGCTTATAATTGTCTATTCTAGTGGACCATTTCACAGTGGTTAAACCAGATCACTGTACCATGACTTGCAAGCATATACAAGTCAACATGTACCATGTCTTGTGATACTTCCAATCACTGTACCTTTCTTAAGAGCTTATATATTTTAACTTGTACATTTCTTGTGAAAACAGGATGTAGACTTGTGAATACTCTAGTATTAATTAATTAAAAGAATAAAATAAAGTTATAAATTATAAAGTAACATCTAGGTTATTTAAAAATAAACAGTAAAGAAATTAAAAAGTAAAGGCTAAGGTTATCATAAAATGAAAGTTGAATAAATTACAGAGTAAGTTATAAATAAACATACTGGTTCAGGGGAGACAATCAACTTTTTCAACTCTCTTTCATATGCTTCATCGGCCCCGTATTGTTTTATTAATAGATCCCAGGGGATGGCTTTACTTAGAACTCCCTGTAATATAAAACATTAACATCATGTTACATTTCATGATATTTTTCCATGATGAAATATATGATAAATATCTGAGAGACATATGTCTTAACTGTTTCAAAGTGAGTGAGAATTTTGTATATATTTTGTTAAAAGCTAACACAAAAGCATAATGGATAAATATGATAATATTCAATAAACAAAATGTATAAGCTGTCAAACTTTTAACAAAAGATCTATGGCTTACGAAAACAAGGTTTTAACCATATTTTACCTTGACCATGACACCAGGTGCCTCAAATCCTGCCGAAGCACAGGGAAGAGGAGTTGGCAAGGTACATACATATACACACCAACTAACTATGGTACAGACTAATTAACTTCTTGCTGTTTAAATTTTTTTTCAATTTTTCTTCTTTATATGTTTATCATGCAGACAAGGAAAAATATGCCTGTTTCAGCTAGAGAAGTCATTGAAACTTGCGATATAAAATATCAAAAATTTTGAACAAGTTAAACTAACAGCTATCAAAAAGAACAGTAATCACATAAATATGGCATCAAGAAAAACCCAGCTGAAACCATGAACATGTAATACATCTCCAAAAAATTATAAACAAAACAACAACAAAACAAAAATTAAATTATAAATCCATTTTACTATGTTATACCGGTATGTCTGAAAAAAAAAAAAACCCCAAAAAAACACAACTCGAAACTATCATGCAAGTATAACAAAGAATAGGGTACTATGTTAATGTGACAGCGAAAAACAAAACTGCTTCATGCAATAATGATAAGAAAAAACCCTGCTTCTATGTAAATATCACAAAAAAAAACAACAAAACAAGAGGGCCATGATGGCCCTGAGGTCGCTCACCTGTATATAGGCCCCCCCCAACCCCCCAAACGTTGCAGGGCCAATTTAACCCAAGGGCTTTTATTTGCACAAACTTGGTAGACACCCATAAGAAGATGTTTCATGCTAAACATCTAAGCTCTAGCTCATTGGGCTTTTTAAAAGAAGATTTCTTTTAAGTTTTTACTATACACATATAGTTAAAAACAATGACACCCCTGGGGCCGGGCCAGTTTTGACTCCAGGGCTTTTATTTGAACAAACTTTGTAGACACTTACTAGAAGATGTTTCATGCTTAATATCTAAACTCTAGCTATTTGGGTTTTTTCAAAGAAGATTTTAAGTTTTTGCTATACACATATAAAGAAAATCAATGACCCCCAGGGCGGGGCCAATTTTGACCCCAGGTCTTTTATTTGAACAAACTTTGTAGACACTCACTAAAAGATGTTTCATGCTTAATATCTTAACTCTAGCTATTTGGGTTTTTTCAAAGAAGATTTTTTAAGTTTTTGCTATACACATATAAGGAAAATCAATGACCCCTGGGGCGGTGCCAATTTTGACCCCAGGGCTTTTATTTGAACAAACTTGGTAGACACATATTAGAACATGTTTGATGCTAAATATCTTAGCCATAGCTCTTTGAGTTCTTTAAAAGAAGATTTTTTAAGTTTTTACTATATGCATATTGGGAAAATCAATGACCCCCGGGACGGGGCCAATTTTGACCCCAGGGCTTTTATTTGAACAAACTTGGTAGACACTTATTAGAACATGTTTCATGCTAAATATCTTAGCTCTAACTCTTTTGGTTCTTTAAAAGAAGATTTTTTAAGTTTTTACTATATGCATATAGGGAAAATCAATGACCCCCCCGGGGCAGGGCCAAGTTTGACCCCAGGGCTTTTATTTGAACAAAACTTGGTAGACACTCACTAAAAGATGTTTCATGCTTAATATCTTAACTCTAGCTATTTGGGTTTTTTCAAAGAAGATTTTTAAGTTTTTGCTATACACATATAAGGAAAATCAATGACCCCCGGGGCGGTGCCAATTTTGACCCCAGGGCTTTTATTTGAACAAACTTGGTAGACACCTATTAGAACATGTTTGATGCTAAATATCTTAGCTCTAACTCTTTGAGGTTCTTTAAAAGAAGATTTTTTAAGTTTTTACTATATGCATATAGGGAAAATCAATGACCCACCGGGGCGGGACCAATTTTGACCCCAGGGCTTTTATTTGAACAAACTTGGTAGACACTTATTAGAACATGTTTCATGCTAAATATCTTAGCTCTAACTCTTTTGGTTCTTTAAAAGAAGATTTTTTAAGTTTTTACTATATGCATATAGGGAAAATCAATGACCCCCTGGGGCGGGCCAATTTTGACCCCAGGGCTTTTATTTGAACAAACTTGGTAGACACCTATTAGAACATGTTTGATGCTAAATATCTTAGCCATAGCTCTTTGAGTTCTTTAAAAGAAGATTTTTAAGTTTTTACTATATGCATATTGGGAAAATCAATGACCCCCGGGACGGGGCCAATTTTGACCCCAGGGCTTTTATTTGAACAAACTTGGTAGACACTTATTAGAACATGTTTCATGCTAAATATCTTAGCTCTAACTCTTTTGGTTCTTTAAAAGAAGATTTTTTAAGTTTTTACTATATGCATATAGGGAAAATCAATGACCCCCCCGGGGCAGGGCCAAGTTTGACCCCAGGGCTTTTATTTGAACAAACTTGGTAGACACTCACTAAAAGATGTTTCATGCTTAATATCTTAACTCTAGCTATTTGGGTTTTTTCAAAGAAGATTTTTAAGTTTTTGCTATACACATATAAGGAAAATCAATGACCCCCGGGGCGGTGCCAATTTTGACCCCAGGGCTTTTATTTGAACAAACTTGGTAGACACCTATTAGAACATGTTTGATGCTAAATATCTTAGCTCTAACTCTTTGAGTTTTTTTAAAAGAAGATTTTTTAAGTTTTTACTATATGCATAAAGGGAAAATCAATGACCCACCGGGGCGGGACCAATTTTGACCCCAGGGCTTTTATTTGAACAAACTTGGTAGACACTTATTAGAACATGTTTCATGCTAAATATCTTAGCTCTAACTCTTTTGGTTCTTTAAAAGAAGATTTTTTAAGTTTTTACTATATGCATATAGGGAAAATCAATGACCCCCTGGGGCGGGCCAATTTTGACCCCAGGGCTTTTATTTGAACAAACTTGGTAGACACCTATTAGAACATGTTTGATGCTAAATATCTTAGCCATAGCTCTTTGAGTTCTTTAAAAGAAGATTTTTTAAGTTTTTACTATATGCATATAGGGAAAATCAATGACCCCACTGGGGCGGGGCCAATTTTGACCCCAGGGCTTTTATTTGAACAAACTTGGTAGACACCCATTAGAACATGTTTCATGCTAAATATCTTAGCTCTAGCTCTTTGGGTTCTTTAAAAGAAGAATTTTTAAGTTTTTACTATATGCATATAGGGAAAATCAATGACCCCCCCGGGGCGGGGCCAATTTTGACCCCAGGGCTTTTATTTGAACAAACTTGGTAGACACTCACTAGAAGATGTTTCATGCCAAATATCTAAGCTCTAGCTCTTATGGTTTTTTAAAAGAAGATATTTAAAGTTTTTTTCTTTTGGTTGCCATGGCAACCAGAGTTCTGCATGGAATTAAATTCTTTGAACAATTTTTAAAGGTGACCACCAAAGGAACATTCCTGTGAAGTTTGGATGAAATTGGCTTAGTGGTTTATGAGGAGATGTCATTTAAAGTAAAAGTTTACGGACGGACGACGGACGGACGGCCGGACAAAAGCGATCACAAAAGCTCACCCTGTCACTTTGTGACAGGTGAGCTAAAAACAACAACAGCTACCTGCCTGTGTGGATTAAAACAACAACCATGCAACAACTTACATGTGTAAAAACTCCTGCAGCCGTACTGCCTGACATACAGGGAATAAGGGAAATAGGTTTGTGCCAGTTCGTAACTCCAAGAGAGGCCATCTGTAATAAATTGTACATATATGATAAATATTGTGTACTATGTAAGTCTATATTTTGTGCAGTGTGTAAAACTTACATGTGTAAAGACCCCTGCAGCCGTACTAGATGACATACATGGTACGATAGACAGAGGTTTATGCCATACAGTTGCCCCTAAAGAAGCAGTCTGAAATTTATACAAAATGTTTTAACATGTCCCCTAGCAAGCTTTATTATGTTCCTTGTCTGTAGGGAATTCAGATCAACAAAATATTCACACTTTTCTTTACATAAATTCAATGAGGGACAAGAGTTGTGCCAATAAAATTCTAAATACAGCAAATGTAGATTCTGTTCAAACGTCTGTCTTCATTTTGTTTCCTATTCCAGAGAGTGTTTTTTTATGTCAATTTTAACACATTTTCGGTCATATGTTGTTGGTCGGTTCACCTAGATTGCTTCCTAGATTACTAACCTGTTATTTTCAATTTCTCACCATCCTTATTAATTCTGTATTATCTAAGGATTTTTTCTCTCTCTTTCAGGCATGAGAGGGCATTTGAGTAGAACCACTAACCCTTCGTAAGCTAGATGAATAGCTTCCTAATTACGAAAGACTCAAAAGGCCCCGATGGGGTTCGAACCCAAAGAGGTGAGGGGCAAGACCACATAGGCAAATAATAACAATAATAATTATTTGATAAAGTTTCTATCATTTTGAACCATTTCAAGAAAAACAACATATTTGTCTTAAAGAAGTCACTCACATCTACCATTCAAGTCCAATTTACTGTAAATTTTCATGAAACAAAATTAAATGATAAATCAAATTACAATGCATGAATAAAAGTATTGTTTTATTATTAATCATTTGGTCAAAAGTCCCATCAGTGGAACATTTAACCCAAGAAAAATAAATGTTCAACCTTAGTTATTTAAGTGTTTGTTTCAAACCATTGAGGTAACAAAAAAAAGTAAAAGATTTTAATTTGCTAAAAAAACGTACATGTCCACCCATGGAGATCCCTGAAGCACCAAGAGGTCCATATCCTAGTCTGTCCAGCCAATTAAACAACACTAGAGACTCCAGTATTATACATCCTCCCATTATAAACAAATCATTTACTTCATGTAGACTAGATCGACTGAAATAACAAATATAGGTATTTACTTATATGGTTAATGAAGAATTAAGGCCTGTTTTTAACCATATAATATAAACAACTGCTTAAAAAAACAAATAGAACCAGGCTAGCTCCAACCACTCTATACTGCTAGCTGGATAGTGTCCTCATATGGTAAGAATCCGAAATCCCTGGCTGAATTCTTACCCACAAAGCAAGTGATTTGAAGTCATGAGACCTTAGCTAGCCTATTCTGCCCTAGATACCTGGTTTATTTAAGTATTTTGGTATTAGTATACCTCACTTTAACAATGGATATGCCCATTTTATGAATCTAGCTACAAGAACATTAACTGAAAATTGCTCCTCAATTCCTCATTAACTTATCAAAATACAAAGATATAATTATTTATATTTAAATTATTTTATTTATTTTAATTCATTTTTTTTCCATAGCAGATATATCTTTTATTATCATAAATAAATTGAAACACTTACAATTGGGCTTTGGGCCTCCTGGTACCATCTTAAAAACGTATGTCAAGGAAAAGTTTTAAATACATTTTGCAGGGCATCCATTAGATTTCAAAATTTGGAAGTCAGAGACTGAAAATATGTGGCACCGGAAGTCAAATCATATAGGTAAAGAAGAAAAGCAATATATTTTGGAAGTCACAAGCCAAAATCAAAGAGTAAATAAATGACTCCAAAACCTCTACTGATAAAAGAGCTGATTTTGTAGTTTCTAGAGAAATGAAACACTGAATTACTAGTAAGTCATAAATGAAATCATATTACTTTACTCATACACCATCTTTGTCACAGGACTTCTTAAATCCATCTACCAAGCTCCCTGGAGAGTCCTTTTATATACACTTATGACATCACTCAAATGGTGCCATAGAGTGATTATTCACCATCGTCTTAAATTTTCAATTTGAGCTGAAGCACTGTGGATCACGGAAATTAGCAAAGAACACAAATTGGCATCCTCTCAATCCCAAAATCTAAAACTAAAGTCATACACCTGCACCACTGTTTCTGGTTGAACAAAGTAATGTTTTGAAAGGATACAGAAAGGATTTTCCAGTATTAAAGACGCGATGCCTTCTTCTTGTAACAGCGGTTTAGCCATTAATTCTCTTCTTCTACCAAAACCCTGTACAGAACATAAAGAAACAATATGACAAAATCAATATACATGTAGTCATACATTACATTTCCTTGGACATTTTACATACAGTATATGTTCATTAAAAAGTAACAAATAAAAACCTAATCCTTTTAATGAAAGATAAAAAAGTGTTAGCTAAACAGGAAAGGCATCAATTTATAAATCAGGGATGGCTGGTTCTATCCTGGGCAAGGCAAAAGTTTCCAGTGACAACTGATCCCAGACATCAAGTCTAATGGTCATTTATCACACACCAGTGAAATCATGTTGTATTAGTAGCACATGTAGGTCATTGGCAGAGAAATCAGTTATTACTTGTTAGTTATTCAGGAAAGCTGGTTGGGTGAAACAACCCCTAAAATTAGTTAAAATCTGCTTAAAAACAAACAAATGTGCTAGCTTACATGATCACCAGTTCCTCCCATCTGTACACACATTGGTCTTAAATGACTTTTCCATTCTTTAGGTAATACCATCTGAAATCTATATGAAAAGAAACCCATTAAGTACTTCTTTCTTCAGCTCATCATTACCTTAAATGCTGTAAAGCCATTTTCAAAACATAATAAAAAGAACAAGAGCTGTCCATAAGACAGCAAGCTTGACTATTCTCAGTGATTGACAGCAAGAAAAAGGGACATAACTCTGTAAAAAGGTAACTCAAGAGTTATGGGACCTATGCCTATCTTGTAAGATAATCACAAAGAACAAGCATGTGAAGTTTCAGCCAACTCCTTAGTTTTTGGGATATCAACTTGCATGCAGAAACTTAACCAAAGTGTAATGGCGATGCCAGGGTAAGTACAATAGCTCTCCTTTTTCTTTAAATAGTCAAGCTAAAAATATACACATTTTGCATTTATGAGGCTAACTGTGCCTTTAAACATTACATTTTCCAAAAACATCATTATACTCTGTAATTACCTTGCAATTTCTGTTTCTTTTGGCACAATTCCTGGAAGAATCTCCTTCAGTGGAGACATAAAATGTCCATCCAGCAGACGAACGTCTCCATTTATAACTTCCTGTTAAAAAGAGGGCAAAGGTCAAATCATAAAATAAGTTCTTGTATATTCAGTTCAAATGAAAAGACATCAAACAATTGATAACAGTATAAAAAGAGTTTACTTATAAAGAAAATACATTGTTATATCATAATTTTTGTTTGTTTTAATAGGTATGTACAATAACAAGAGGGCGATAATGACCCTATAATGCTCACCTGAGATTCACTGCCAGAAATGGTCATAATTCTTCAATGTAAATGTCAGGGATTGAGTAACATTATTCATGTTCCTTCATTTTCTTTAAACAAGGGGCATTTATAAAACTTTTATAACAGCCCACAAGCAAATACTTATACAACTTGTCAAAATCTTAACTGTAGGCAATATTATATTTGAATTAAAGATATTTACTGTTTTGTTTTTAGTGACACAGGTGCACGTCATATTTATACTACATACCGGTACTCTATATCTGTTCTCGGCATTATAGAAGACTTCCATGTATTATCCGATGTAAAGTCTATGTAAAGTAAGTGACCACTAGGGCATAATTTGAATAACTTTAGTAAAGGAGTTTAGTAAAGGAACACAAAATAATGATAATACATGCTTTGGACATTATACTTCTCGAGAAAATTTTTAAAGACACGTTTCCAAAGTAACACGATTGCGGTCAGCCCCCTTTTTCCCT